TATTGGCAGTGACTTAAACAGCTTACCGAGTCTGTAAGGAGTATGACAGATAAGCTAGCAGTCGTGGACGTTCCCTGTATAGGTATACCTTACACCACCTAAGGGCTCTTTCAAATACTAGATTAAAATTTTCCGTGTGTACGTCAAACAAAACGTCTTATGTTAAAAAGCCTTTGTGTTATGTGTAGTTTTAGTGCGAGAGCTTGCTCAATTAAGATATGACTACCCCGCCCCCCTCCTGGATAATAGAATACATGTTTTAAATTCTAGGCTCGCCAAGCCCCACGAGCCAGCCTGACGAGCCTATGAAGCTGGAATGCGATTTGGACATCAAGCAGGAGCCGGCCGACGACGCTTCCTCAGTGTCATTCGCCTCCGCCTGCTCGCGACGCGACCGCGCCCGCGCCGGTCATGTTGCCAGGAGGTTTGTATTCGATTATGATCTTTCCTGCTGTGATGTTAGTGTTGCATATAGCGTGCTCCGGAATTAAGAAATCAGGTGCGACAGCGCGCGTCTACCACGTCACAAGCCGGGCTAAGATACGCGCTGTGATATAATTTATCGAAGGTAAAATGTATGTGCAAAACTGCAAAATCGATAAAATGGCGTGATAACAGCTTGTCGCGGCGCGTATCCTAGGCCTACAGGAGGTGATACGCGGTTATGGTCGTTGCTCTTAGAACGTTTGGATGTTGAATATAGCGTCAGATATTTGGCGATTAGACATGGCTTTTATCGTGCCTTTGAATTACGAAATCGCCTGCTCGCCAGTAATTGGTGTATACCGAGCTCATAAAAGTGTTTATTTAACTTTTTTTTATAATTTAAAGGTTTAAAATTTCCACAAAAGAAAATTCTGTGGCATAAAGTATGATTAAAGAGGAAGAAAATATTGATTTACGTTATTTCCTTAGGCTTCGCTCGCACAAGTCGGCGGCGTCGGAGGCGGAGGAGCCGCTGCCGTCCACGTCGGGCGGCAGCGAGCCGCGCGCCTTCGAGACGCAGTCCTCCAGGTATGGACGACCATTATTATTTACTAGCAGTGCCCGCGACTTCGTACGCATGAAAATCATTTTTGCTCTGCACCTATTACTCGTAGCGTGATGGTATATAGCCTATAGCCTTCCTCGATAAATGGGCTATCTAACACTGAAAGAATTTTTCAAATCGGACCGGTAGTACCTGAGATTAGCGCGTTCAAGTAAACAAACAAACAAACTCTTCAGCTTTATAATAATAGTATAGATTTATCTTATGTAGGGGTGGCCAGGCGCGTATATAGCGGATGTTGGGCCGTGACATGGCATGTAAGGGCAGGCCCCCCTGATAAAGAACCCTAGATACGCCAATGCGGGTGGCTACATCTACGACGCCACGCTCCGCTTCTTTGTAGAATAAAAGTATGTTATTACATTGATGAAATAAAACGTGGCCAAAACAGCGTATTACACTTGAAAATTTCGACGGGTTCATCCAGTGTCTAAGTAGCTAAGTTGGAAGAGCAGTAACCCAGCAAGCGAAAGGTGGGTGGTGGTGGGTTCGATTCCCGCCTTAGGCAGTTCGTAAGTTATTTAAAATAAAGTATGTTGCTACCCAGCTTGTGTATTACTCGTGTCCGTACGCCTTACCTTCTGTATTTGTTTGCCTCATTCAGGCTACGACTGCCCATAAAGTACAAACCCAAAATTATGGATTTCTTATGCAGCACATATCTTTTTCGTATGTAGAATTTTTGCTCTTGAAGAGATGCATCGCAAACTGTGGCCAAAAGTGTAATACATAATACACTTGAAAATTTCTAGTCTCCCTTGTACAGTAGTAAGAGCAGTTGCCCGATAAACGCCGCGGGTTCAATGAGGGCTATCGTTTTAGCGCTCACCTGTTAGCGCCACTGTAGAGTAAGGTCCTGTCACTTGCTAGTAGCGAAGACAGTGGCGCCAGCTGGTGAGCGCTAAAGTGGTAGGAGGACTATCGCATTTGCACTTATCAAGATGGCGCCACTGTAGAGTAAGGTCCTGTCAATCGCCAGGGGTGCCAACTGTTAAGTATAAAAACGATAGCCCTCATTGAACCCGCGGCGTTTATTGGGCAACTGCTCTTACCACTGTACAAGGGAGACTAGAAATTTTCAAGTGCATTATGTATTAAAACTAATACGATAGCCCTCATTCCCACCTGCGGCGGTGGCTAGCGTTGAGGAATATTGATTTATGCAGTGTTGGCAGTAGCGGGTCGTCGCTGAGCGAGCCGTGGCCGCGCGCCATGCTGCCCGGCCGCGCGCCCGCCGCGCCCACGCCCACGCGCACGCCGCTGTCGCTGCTGCTCGATAAGGTACCTTACCGGCTTTCATTTAAAGCACAATTTTCTTTATAGAGCTCAGAAAGAACCTAGCAACTACTACGCGAGCAAAAGTATAGAATCACCAGATTCGTTTCGAGTGAATTCGTTAGAACTGAATGACTCTGAAGATTAAATTAAAATGATGCCAGTTTAAAGGTTTTATAATAAACTTTGTGATACCATAGATAATAAATGAGTTCTTCATATCGCTGGTAACAAAACACAAGAACCCGATTCCATACTTTTGTTCGTATAGTTGAAAACTCAACTATCAACTATACCACTATTTTAAAGGAATCTACCCATGCCTTGAATTAAGTTTTAGTAATGTTCAATCAACGCGCGTGTAACTTTTAGTAAGGGGGTTAGATATTCATGCATCCATCTTTGTTATGAAATGACACAATCTATACAGGTCTGTAATTGTATGTAATATCACTGTCTTTTATTCAGGTTGCGAAGTGGCAGATCATTCCTCGCGAGGGCACCGAGCACCTGCCCTGCCGGGTGTATGGCGCTATTCATCTTGCCCGTCTTTTTGGTACTTTATATTTTACATCTCATTACACAATTTGGATTAATTGTGACTTGTTTTTAATTAATTAATTTTTGTTTACAGTGAAACTTCCAGATTTCCTGAACGCAACTCAGATGCCGGATTTTAAGCTCAAACTGATTTTGAAACACATTGATATGTTTGTCCAGTGAGTATGCCTATATTACATCCCTACATCAGTTATATCACATAATAATAATAGTACGGGCAGCGCAGGACCGTTCATTGTGGAAAACCTTGGGGGAGGCCTTTGTCCAGCAGTGGACGTCATTTGGCTGAAACGAACGAATAATAAGTACTACGTACAGAAGTTTTACTTCGCGAAGGTATTTAAAAAAATGTATGCTCAATGTCATTAACAATATGGTGTAATTTAGCTTGTCTCAAGAGTCAAGCAAGTTTGTCAGAAGTTTTGTTGACAAACGTCAGTGATCGGTACTGCGCCGAAGCTATAGGGCTGACTTCGGTAAAATGATGTGACGTGAGGTGCCAATCTGCAGAAAATGGCGGAGGAAATACATGATTTAGCATGAATTATCATAAATAATATTAACTACTTATTTACCTCTCAGTGTCTTCAGGCAGCTTAAAAAAGTACATTCTGTGTTTTTATTATTATTTAGGCAGTTAAATACTGCACAGTATTTAGTACACCATTTTCTTTATTTTTGTCCATCATACACACACAAGAATACGCGTGCGTGAGTCAATGTTCGCTCGTATGTGAGGCCTTGTCGAATAGTACTCTTGTAGGGGGCAATCGTGCGTGTTTTGTTTTCGATGTAAACTCGCGGAGATGAACAGGCCTGGTTATATCCTGATTGGTACAGCTTTATCATAAAAAAACAACAAAACAGAGCTGCAAAGTGCAATATTTCTTCATTATGACAACCACAATGTTTAGCCTGATGGGCCATCATCCATATACACTAGCTTTCCGCCCGCGGCTTCACCCGCGTGGAATTTTGTCTGTCACAGAAAAACTTTATCGCGCGCGTCCCTGTTTCAAAAACCGGGATAAAAACTATCCTATGTTCTTTCCCGGGACTCAAACTATCTCTATGCCAAATTTCATCAAAATCGGTTGCGAGGTTTAAGCGGGAAAGCGTAACAGACAGACAGACAGACAGAGTTACTTTTGCATTTATAATATTATTTGGGATTAATAATTAATATTACTTTCCCTTCATGCAGGTACTTGGATGAACACAACGAATGGTTCGGGGAGATGTACTACGTGGCCGATAATATGTCCCGTTCTCACTAAACTCACAGTACTTAATTTAAATACATTAACGATATCATATTAACTGAAATAATAGAATTTTGGTAAGTGGTTTACCATTTCCTTCAACATTTGCAATTAGAAAATGTGCTACATACACTTTATTACAAGCATTCCAAATACATAATACTCGTGTTAAAATCACATTTTATTTTTAAGTTAAGTTTCAATTGTTAGCTTACATACCGTCCATTGGATACAAAATTGTCAAAAATAGGTTTCGTCATCAAAAATGATATTTTCGAGCTATTGAAATATTCATCGCCTATTTCTATGTTTAAGGAATGAAAACGAGTGACTTGCTATAAGCCTTTTATCAGTAGACGTTGGGAATAGTTATAGAAACTTGATTGATATTATTAGAGAATAGGGTAACAAGTATAGTATTATTATTATTAACTATATTTCCGACCAATACGTCAAAAATGCATGATCTCACTAGCTTACTCTCGAGACTATCTAGTTTTCTAAAACCTGTTAGCTCTCTAATTTAGCGACTTACTGATTGTACTTTGTAAGCGATATGTTAAAAATAAAAGTTATTCGAAAAAAACATGTTCTTTTTTAATTTTCGTCCCAATTTTTGCGGTACCTACGACTCCTACGAGACAAAGCAAGAGTGCACGGACAATATCAAAATGTGTACTTCTTGAAGTAGTTGTTATCTAATTTCATTGATTAATGTAATGTAATAAAAAAATATTTTACAAAATCACATTTTATTATCAAAATTACATTTTATTCGAAAGTACATAACAAGAACAATTTTAGAGACACTTGGTACCAAATCACAACTAGGTATTACTATTATTTACTCGTGAAAATTATTACATAATATTCATAAAAGAGTAACTAAATTATATTTTAAAAGTTTCTTCCTGTTTTCATGATATTTTAGTTGTCACGTCAAATTCCATCATTTATATGACAAAATTAAACCACAAAATTACAAAAAACAAGCATTAGATGCCAGGCAAGTAGGTATATCAAGATTCAACACCTACTTTTCGCATCTGACTGTACAACATAAATGCATTGACAAATATGCAAACCTACCAAATTGAATATAAACAATTTAAAAATCAGCATGGCTGTTACAACTTAAATACATTTGTTACAATTCCCATTTTAAGTACTATGAAAGAAAATAAAAATCATTAGCATTTAAATCTCGACACTATTATTGTTTAAAACGTTTAATCTGAGATCAATGATGATGATAGATACAATACAAATGTTATAATCGGCTATCTGTGACTGATTGTATTCATAATAACAGTAAAACTAAACTTACGATATGAATAGCGAGTTAAAATAGATGCAGTCTCACTCTTAATTTAACCTAAACCCTTCTCACAGTAACATCGAATTGTAAAAATACAGTCAAGCTGTCGCATAAAAATTTTGAGACAGTAAAAGGAGGCTCAACGTCGTAATTAATTTTAATTGGTTCGAACTGGTTAGTAAACGTGCCGCGTGCTCTGCTACAGTATGCGTTATCTCCGCGTGGCAGAGTGGTTATTTCCTTGAGGGCTAGTCGTGTTCCATGCGATGGATGACGCGGCGATAGTCGTCCTCGAGGGCCAGATACTGCGAGGCGAGGCGGCCGTGTGTCTCGGCGAGCCCAGTGGAGCTGATGGTGGCGGCAAACTCTTCGGGCTTCAACACTTTTTGCAGCTTCTTCATTTCTAACTTCTTTTTCTGTAAATAAATAGTAAATATAATTAAATTACACAGAGGCAAAGCATACCATACTTATAATATTGTCTGCATATCTATCCTTATTGGTTACAAAATTGCATATACTACAACTACAATCATGTCAGTGTTTAGTCTGATAATCTGATAAGTACAGGATAACAGAATGACTATTCATTCAGTACATTATAACAGTAAACATAATAACAATGTACACAGTTAGTGAACAACATACCTGGTAAGGAGCATTGAGCCTATTTTTAACATCAAGCCTGTAATTTAGGTAAGCAGTTTTATCTGAAGTATTTGTGTTCTTTAGTCGCAGAATCTCGTAAATTCTCCGTGCTTGCTTTTTGTTAATTTTGAACTTGGCACATGCTTGGCTTGCCATTTCCGATGAGAACCTATAGATATAAAAAAAATACAATTACAGAAGTTTTCACCTACATGATTTGGATATTTCTGGAAATTGTTCATTCACATTAAATAGTGTTAATAGATAAATTTAAATATCTTACCCTTGAACTAATTTAGCAGGTTGGAAGGCTGGCAACGATTCACAATTTTTGGCATCAACATAGTCTCTTATTCTTTGAAAGTCTTGTGATGGGTCTTCAACTGTTATGTCCACAACTTCTGGTATTATTACGAAATGAGAATAAATAGCCTGAAAACAAGAAATACAAAGTTATAATAAAATACAGCACAACATTATAAAGTAACAAGTGCGAGTCGGGCTCGCGCACAAAGGGTTCCGTAGCAGCAAATATAATAAACTTATTATGTCAATTTATACACCTGGTGAATGGAGCCTAAACTCTCCCGATATTTTGCCTTGTACTTTTATGTATGAATATTAATTTTATATATGTATTTATAAATATTCCGAGCTAAAGAGGTGGCAAAAGCAATGGCAAACAAACCACAATCAATAGTATTCGGTTGTCGCTGAACACTTGGAAACTGAATACATGACTCCGATAGATACGGAAACAAGGCTTTTACATATATTTTTTGCGATTTTCCTAGAACACCAACAAGACTATCGTACACACGCAGTATTCCATTAATGTAATAAATACAACTCCAGTGCCCCACTAATCCCACGTCACCGTCATAAATTACTTGAAGGTGCGTCTCATTTTTAGGTACAGGTTCAATCAGTTCAGGGTGTTGAAATAATTCTAGCTCACGCGGTCTAAATGATGTGCACCGAAGTAACTTTTCATGAAATGCGCGAACCACATCATCTTCGATATAGTTATTATAATTCAGAATGTAGGAAAACGTATTATCTAAAGTATCCATTGTTAGATGATATACAATAAGCTTTAGAAATTTTAAAAACCTGCTACGAAACACTAAAATTTGCACCAAAAACAAAGGAATTTATATTATTGGGGGATTTATTAGTACGTGACCGGTTTAATAGCACCTATTAAACCAGTATACCTACTTACTTATTTTTTATAATAGGTACAATTCAATATTAAAAAGTCTCAACGCCAAATTCGACTTGCGAAAGAAGTAAATGGGAACGATGAAATTCTCTTAGCGCGCACAAGTGACAACGACGTCTGCCCTCACGTGTCTGCCCGTTCGGGTCGACGCGGTTAGCTATCTTATCCCCGCTCCCGCGCGAGACCACGCCCCGCAACTCACGCGCTGCAGCGCAGCGAGCGACCGATCTTCTTGAATCGATGTAATAATAATCTATAGGATTAACGCGTTTTAAAAATATTGGTTCGATGGATATGTTTAACCTATTATTACTCAACAATCACATTTGTAATATTAAACTTTATCAAATGCACAATGTATTTAAGGTACATTACTGGATAAGGATTAATGGCGTATTGCTTGAATAAGCTAATATTTCTCGTAAAAAGTACCTACATTATAAAGATTTTATATCATCGCGGATTTTAAAAGGTGTACAATACTGTAGTATATTTTTTGATCTATCTTATAAGGTTCAGCCATCGTTTTCAGTGTAAGCACAATAACTTAACCAAAATTACAGTTAAATCAACCTATCTCAAAAACTATAAGAGATACTTTGATCAAACCAAAAATCGTTGAAAGAGTTAATTAGCATGCATCACCTCTATTTTTTTTAGAATTTTATACCCCGTAGTTATAAAAATAGAGGGGGGGGGACATACTTTTTACGACTTTGAGAGCTGATATCTCAAAAACCGTTCACTTTAAGAAAAATGTTTTTTAGAAAACTTTATATCATTTTAAAAGACCTTTCCATTGATACCCCACACGGGTATGTACATCGAAAAAAAAATTTTCATCCCTCAGTTACATGTATGGGGGGCCCCACCCCCAATTCTTTTTTTTACTATTTAGTGTCATAATTTTGTAGCGGTTCATACAACACATATTCCCATCAAATTTCATCACTGTAGTACTTATAGTTTCCGAGTAAATCGGCTGTGACAGACGGACAGACGGACAGACGGACAGACGGACAGACGGACAGACGGACATGACGAAACTATAAGGGTTCCGTTTTTGCCATTTTGGCTACGGAACCCTAAAAACAGGTAATATCTGTGTCCAAGACTGAATAAAGTGAGTGAATTAACATAAATATTTTCTATAGCAAAGGGCTATATTTTTTATTGGAAATAAAGGGCTACGGCTGACAACACGAAGCTGTTTTGTTAAGTAAAACAAATCCGATATTTTCGTCTCTACCCAAGCCCTCTCTCACTCAAGAAAGAATCTCCAGTGATGAGAGAAGAGGGAGATTGAGAGTTGAGATTACTGCATAATCAAATATCTCCTGCCCACTGCTTCGATAAGAAGTTAAGTTCTTGTAACTCATGAAGGCGAGTGAGCTTTACTTGTGTGTGTACGTGTACGTAACGATAGTGTAATTTGTATCAAAACTTTTGAAAAATGAACAGTAGCGAGCCACACATGTAAAGCTCACTCGTCTTCGTGAATTGCAACAACTATGGTCTGCGAGCACTACGCGACTGTGCGACGGTCGGCCGCAGCGAGTGTGCGAGCGCGACAGCAACATAATTACGCGCGAGCAATAAGGATGGGTAGCTTGGGGTCATTGGACAAAATTGTATGTGCTCATAGACCGGGCTTTTTTTTATTATTATAGCTTTATATTCCACATTTTTACAGTTTCATTCAATTAATCTGTATCTGTTGTTTGTGGCCCCACTTGGGTAAAAGCTTCCTCCATCTTTTTCCACCTTTCCCTGTCGCTGGCTATGTGCATCCAATTTTTCCCTGCCTTGTTTGTTATGTCATCGGCTTTATAAGTAGTTAATTTTGGCTAACGTGGTACCTGGAGCAGGTTGGCGCAGAGCCCGAGCTTGCGCGCGGGCGGCAGCGTGAGCACTTGCGACACGCGCGGGCGCAGGTGGCGCGGGTAGGCGTAGTAGCGGTACACCGTCGCGTACGCCGCCGCCGCGTACCGCCACGCGCCCTCGGCCGACTGGTACTTTTCGAACCTGCAATAGACAGTGTATAAACCTTCCATGAAACTTGTTTGTGTAATTTGCCAATAGATGTCACTGTATCGATATTGAGACGCGTAAAGCTGTACCGCGGTGTCCAGATTTTTTTCCCCGGCTTTATATACCGGGAGGATTTTGACACAATGAACCTTTGACAACCTTTGTGAACCATTGACAACCTGTGTCAAGCAATAAATTGTCACCTACATATTGACGTCTTATTTATACCTAGATAAGAGTCCCTTAAGTGCGCCGAGAGTATCCGTGGTTTATTCAGACAGTTTGACACCATACCTCAATAATTCGAAACTACAACTGTTTTAAAAAGACCCTTAAAAACTTATTCTGGTCTTTAAAACTTAGTTCATTTTAAATTACCAGTAAAATTATGATTTTTGTTCGCATTGTAATTGAAAAAAAGTAGTTTAATTGAGTTGACAAAATAGTGACGTCACTTGCTTGTAATGACATACAAAATCTATGGGAGTTTCGTTTTGACAGTTTTAAAAAGTGCGTCAATTGACTGGTGGTGTCAACATAATGTGTATTTAAATATAGATGACCCAAGCTGAACTGTCCCACCCTCAGATCATAGAAGGGAATAGATGTGAAACGGGGGCGTGGCACGTGTCTCCGCGATATGCCCAGAAACGAACATCGCCCGCGACGCCAGGTTAGTCGCGATTCAGTCGTACTGAGGAAACGTTCTCCGATATTGTTGGATAATGCGTCGTAACGTGCAATAACATAAGTGAAACGAAGAACTACAGGAACAATGAAGTCATTTACCACATGTAAGTATTGCAAATCCATTGGTATTTTGCTTATAAATAAAAAAAACTAAACATTTTTACGAACGAATTCAGTGCCGTGACATTTACTGCGATATCGAAATTAGTGGTGATAAAAATTCAAACACGTTGTACATTGACGATTTGGTTAGCAACCACTTTATGTCATGCGTAACTACTGCGCAATGTATTTTATTTCTTCCGATATCCACTGACGCGTGAAAATACACAGTACGGCCGCATGTGCCGGTCGTAACATAGTTTTCGAGCCTTGCCCCCAGGATTTAAAGTATCGATATCTTATCGACTCCATTTTATCTTTCTTCTCTCTAATTGCGTTTTTCAAAGTGTGCGTCACGTCACGCGGCCATTGATTGGCCATAAGGCACGCCTTCTGGCCAATCACAGCACTTTTAAGCCGGTTGCACATGTTGTCGTAGACTCTCAGTCGCTTTGTTTTTACACAGTTGAATGTGTGTGTGGGAGCTGTGGTGGGGGAAATGTGGGGACACTGGTTCTCGTTGTAGTTACGCGCGACTTCATATCTATTCTCTTTCTATGATCTGAGGTCCCACCAAACTCAATGACAGGGGGGCGCTACCATCGTTCAACTATATGGTTTCCAACATGGCAAAAATCGGAACCAGCGATTCGGTATTGACGGTGGCGCCCCGCTGTCAATGTCATCGATAGGACAGTTCAGTATTTTGGAACTATAACATTGTGATAGACCAGTCTTTCCCAAAGTGGGCGATAACGCCCCCTTGTGGGCGCTGCAGGCTAAGACCAGAAAAAAAATCGGGACGTTGTGTAGAGGCTTGGGAGGCGTCATCTACTAGGAGGACTCTTAGACATCGACTGAGCTCGACTCTTGACTACAAAAATGGGGGGCGCTAAAAATAATTTATTCTCAAAGTGGGCAGTAGACTAAATAAGTTTGGGAACCACTGTGATAGACGATGGCCGTTGGGGCAGGAAAGTTCTCGAGTGGCGACCACGGGCGGTAAGACGTAGCGTGGGCAGACCTATTAGGTGGACCGACGATCTGGTTAAGGTCGCGGGAGGAGCCTGGATGCGGGCAGCGCTGGCTGGACCGTTAATTGTGGAAAACCTTGGGGGAGGCCTTTGTCCAGCAGTGAACGTCATTTGGCTGAAACGATTGTGACAGTATGTTCTTTAAATCAAATCATCTACAAAATACAAAAATATGAACCATTGATATGATGACAGAATATGAAAATGTTTTTGTAGAAAAATCACCTATATTCATAAGATGCAGCCCTTAGCTTTAGCTAAGGGCCTTGCCACAATGGTGTATTAAAAGCTTTTCAAAGCGGCGACGCAGCAGCAGCTCACTTAGTCTGTACACAGTTGTAATAGGAGCTACTTTGCAACCAAAAGAGTAAATGGTGTGCTGTCCACTGCACTTTTTTTTTTATTTTTTTTTATTCTATCTGCGATCAGCCGTCAGCCTTTATCAGATAAGATGAAGTCCACTGCACTTAATTCTTAATTAAGTAGGTACTATAAATAAAAATACAGCAGTAGCAACTTACACAGTGAAAAATGTCCATTGATCGTCATCCACATCTATGAAAGATGCTGCGTCCACATACCAAAGCAAGAATGTTTGCAATCTCTCATGGAAGGCCAAAAACCCAGGTGTTGATGTCTCACTATAGTAAACTTCGAATGTACGCTTTTCACCGCCATCATCTAAACATTTTATTAAAATTAGTATCAATACACACAAATTATCATGGTCTGAAAAAAAAATTAATTATTATACAATACTTACGTGGAGTTACACTGAATGCATGTAATAGTCTACCGTGCGGTGTAAATGATTTGTCTTTCTCCAGCAAGGACACGAAGCGGTCCAGGTTAGTAACATAACCTGGAGCCAGGACCTTCTTCAAGGCACCTTCCACATCGTCTGCCTTCATTCCATCAGACTTACTGGGTTCAATCTGAAATAATAACATAATAAAAAGTTGCTTTTAAATGTAAATCTTGGGCAAATTAATGTACTATAATATTATGATGGATTACAACTGGAAACAATTTTATACAACAAAAGGAGAGCTAACCTTATCTGTATATTCAATTCCCAGGTATGTTTGTAAGCTGGCAGCGCTATAGTAGAGGCGTATGTGTAGGTCTGTGTAACCAAATATGTTTTCATTCTCCCCGAACACCTGGTGGCACATCTCGGGCCCAAAACTAACCTCATCATTTTCTATATCTTCTGGGCTCCTTACTGAAATAATCATATTTATGAAGGTATATTAAAATATTACAATTCCTTTATTACAAATGTGAGAAAGGCAACTAAAATTTCTTTTTTTGGCAAACATTTGAATGATTTTAATCACCAAGAATACTTACCTAATTTGAATTCTAATATTTCATTTCCATCTACGACCAAATGGCACAGCTGATCAGTCATTTTGAGCCGATTTTACAGGCCTCAAGTCCAACTTTCATTCCACCAGAACTCGACGATTCCCGCGCAAAATGTAGGTATTGAAAGAACTGGAATACGAACTGTAACGACGATTAGCTGGCAATCTATAAATGTATGATGATAAAGGATATACAGCCGTTTACAATTTTAATGGTTAAGTTTTTAGAAAGAAATACGGCGCTATCGAGCTGTAAATTCAAGTAATTTTGCAGATTTGCTGAAGAAGAAACGCGAAAAGCCGAAAACTCTTTTGACAGTCTTGACAGTTGAATTGAAATTTGTTTTTTTTTGTCTCACTATTTGAACGTTTAGTAAAACGTGTTACTTACCGGTTTTACAAACCATTCTACATCACTAAACTTAGGTAGAAAACACATTGTGTCGCAATCTGTCAATCAACACAAATTTTTTAGTGCTTGCAACATTTCATACATTTATGTGACGTCATTATGGCCTGGTTGGGTTAGGTTTGCTTGGAAATTTTTGTTAAAAATCTTGTATTTTAGTGTAATATATGTTGTGCTACTTATTTTAGATTAGTAATATAAATACCTCATAGAGTAGCAGTAATCCTGGTGCCAAGAAGTGTTTGTTTCGGCGACATTCTCTGGCGAAAATGAATCGCCATGAAGGTGGGTAATGATAATCAAAATTTGTTCGATGCTTTTGTCACCGTGAAATTCTTTGCAAAAACATTTTGCCCCTGTTAATTGATGATTTTTCAGTCCCAAACAAGGTTTAAAACCCTCAGATTAACTATTTATTCACTATCAAAAATTGTTGTTGTACATTGTATTGACATCTTTTCAGGAGTCAGCTGTGATTCTTGTTTGAAAAATAACTTCAGAGGACGACGATACAAATGTTTGATTTGCATCGACTACGACTTGTGCGCTGCATGCTATGAGTCTGGCGCTACCACAAACCAACATACAACAGAGCATCCTATGCAGTGTATTCTTTCTAGAAGTGATTTTGGTGAGAATCATTATTTTTTAGCTCCCAATCGATTTGCCCTAGTTAGATCTAAACTGGATTCTGTTGTTATTAGTCATTATGTTTGTGTCAAAAATGTAGCAATATTAGAAAGTATCATAAAATTACTGTTTACTTATTAGTTTGGATGTATTTCCAATTAGAATTTAAGTAGTGATTGCCTAATAAGAACAGACAAAGGTTTCGCTTTTTGTCTATAAATAGATGTTAGTAAGCAATATATTTTTAAGAAATTATTCCTGATTATTGTGGAAGGTTACTGACTGGGTATATTTTTAACTTTTTTCAGATTTGTATTATGGAGGTGAAGCATTGGCCCTTGAGCAGCCTCAAGCGTACACTTGCCCATACTGCAACCGCATGGGGTTCACGGACACCGCCCTCATGGAACACGTCACTGCAGAGCATGCTGATACCACGTTAGCTGTGAGTGAAGTACATAAAAACCATTTACTATTTGGCTTAAAGTAGTATTAACCAGTTATTGACTTATTTTACAAAATACAATGTTACTGATATCAGTCAGGTTAACATCTGACCTCAATATACTTTTCCAACAATAAACCAGTGTTTATGTTGAAGAATATGGCACTTTTCACTGAAAATACTATCTTTTTAAGTACTAAATTATACATGTATGACTGTTGATGATAGTATTGCATGACATATCATTGATGTGAGTCATGAACGGTCCGCCCCGGGTGCCAAGCATCAGGGGGTGACACAAGTCGCGCTGATTAGTACTCAATGGCGCATCTGCATGGCAAATCTGCGGTCTATGTCATGATACGGGAGGGGTGCGTGCGATTGCGATCTTTCAATATTCGAATCGGTAGGTAACCCCAAAATCCCGGGGGGTACCTGGGGGTGNGTGCGATTGCGATCTTTCAATATTCGAATCGGTAGGTAACCCCAAAATCCCGGGGGGTACCTGGGGGTGCCTTAGGACTATGACGGGGGGGGGGGGGGGGGATCCCCCCGGGTACCAACCCATGCTACCCCCGCCACTGGTCATGAATCATAAAAATATGTTTGTTATTGTTCCAGGTGGTCTGTCCAGTGTGTGCATCAATGCCTGGTGGAGAACCTAATTTTGTAACTGATGACTTTGCTGGTCATCTCACACTTGAGCACAGGACTGGACCTAGAGATCTCATCTCATTTCTGATATCCTTTTCAAATGGTTTTTGTGTAAAAAAGTGAAATAAGCTTTATGTGTGTAAGTAGTAAGCTCCACTGGGCTCAGACCGCATTCAAACTATATTGGTGGTCAAAAATATTAGGTTACAATTATTAGAATTTTTTGTTTTAACTAATGAGGAAGTACAAAAACAGAGGCTGTCTATTTTTGTCCACCACTATAGTGATTCAGGCCAAACATCACACATAGGCCCAGTCCAAATAAGTGGAGGGGTAAGGTAACTCTTACTCTTGCTTGGACTATATCAAGCTTAGTCATATTACATAGTGATTCTTAAAACATAGACCACCTATGTTTTCAGTAGTTATCACTATTTATATCTAAGATACGTCATTTGGTGCCAATACTGCCAATATGAAGTCATACATTTTCATTTTCTATCATCTGTGATTTTTATCAAGTATATTTACGGCCGTGTAATTGAGTAATTTCCTTAACCACTGTGCACGACGAACCCAGTGGCATCAGACACGGTGGCGTGCGCCGCGTGCCGCAGTCGGGCCGCGGCGTCGGCCGCGCGCGCCGGACTAATATGCAGTTTAGGTAAAGTATATTACCATGTTTTAGGTTTGAAACTACGTTTAACGGACACCCGCGCGGTTTCATACTAAAGTCCCCAGCGCGAGTGCCCGCGACTGAACACTTTTACTTGAAACCGCGCAGGCGTCCGCTTAACACAGGTTCAAACCTTAGTTTAGCTCAAGTATTTCATAAGCGTTTTTAGTATTCTGACAGCTGCATGCCGATGTTGCCACTACAACTAACTCTTGGAAAAGACAAAGTTATCTTAGTCATATGCATGACCACATCTTACCTTGATACAGTTTTTGCTCATGCATGAGTCATCAATTGTAGCAAATACTACTGGGCTTTTACTATTTCAAAATAGGCATTTTTTGAATAATATTGGAGATATACTATTATTTACTCCAACAATTAACTCATATGCTTAACATAATCTAAATACATCAGCCCAGCTTGAATAATTTACTTAATCTGATTATTGTACATAATAATATTATGTCTATTATATTTTATCTCCACCTATAAATTGGTTGTATGTTATAATTTTCATTGGACTCAATCTGCTGTAGTAACGCTCTTGGCACAAGCTCATGACCCTGTGATGTTGTCTGTTCTGCCAAAATTGCAAGACAGGCATGTTACTATTTTTTCATAGGGTACAATCCAACAAATTCCTGTGAAAATCTAATTAATCCTGTGAATAATAATTATAAGGTAAATTAATATCAAACAAACTCATTCAGTAATTACATTTATTGCCCTAAAATATCTGCTTTGCCTCGAAACATTAGCCCTATGTTACTAATTTGATTGCAACAAAGTCCTCCTATGTAGCTTCACTTGGTGATTACTTGCATAGCAATGTCATACAGTATGTCGATCACAGATAGGTGCCCTTCTGTTTATTCCTTAGCTCATTCCACATAATAATTGCCAAATCCCATTTTGTAACATGTTTAATCACGTAAATTCCCATTTAGAAGTTAATCAATTTGAAATTCGCTATTTTTAAGGTGACAGATTCTTCCGCCACATCTTAACTCCAGCCGATATGTTGTCCCAAAGTGGTGTTAGGGCAAGTAACATTTGGGACATGTATAAAGCTTCAACCACACCAACGCGTGCAGATCGCCGTCGACGGCATGATCATAGGCCAATGACAGATCGCACGGACTGTCATGGGTCGCGCGTATGATATGCATAACATAATCTAAATACATCAGCCATGACAGGTCGCGCGACCCATGACAGTCCGCGCGCCGGCGATGGCGATCTGCCCGCGTTGGTGTGGTTGAAGCATAAGTGCCCTGAAATGAATGTTTTGATTTGACAATGTGTTGCAGCACGGGCGGCGGCATATCGTCGCTGTCGCCGTCGTCGCGGGATGCGGTGGTGGACCCGATCGCCGAGCTGCTGTCGCAGCTGTCGGGCGTGCGGCGCGGCGCCGGCCAGCCCGGCACGCCCAGCCAGCTGCAGCAGCTGCAGATGCAGCTTCAGCTGGAGCGGCAACAGGCCTCGGTATGTACAGCGGCCAGCGAGCGATCTGGTGGTCTGAAGAAAACGTGTTCAGTTGCTTTTCAGTAGCAAAAGCTACATTTCCTTTAGATGCAGAAGGTCTTATTATTATCTTTATTGACCTGGAAATTTTGCAACTTGGACCTTCTGCACCTAAACGTTAACGCCTAATGTCCTGCATGCGTTATTTTGTAAAATAACTACATTCAGTAGGCAAAACCTTGCTTTAAACACGACTTCCAGTTGTTACAAATTCTTGAGCTTTGAGTCACCTGCGACATAAATGAAGATCGGGTGCTTGTCTAACATCCAGTGATGTCTATGTCAACGTCAGTTATACCCGCAGACTCGCGTATCATTGAATACTTCAAACATGAGTTGTTGNGTACTACCAAAATGTTCGTGGTTTACGTACAAAAACAAATATTTTCTTCCGCAATATTATTGAGGCCGAATATCATATTGTTTGTCTTACTGAAACATGGCTACTGCCGGGAATTTATGACTCAGAATTATTTGATTCGCGCTATAATGTGTATCGATGCGACCGCGACTACATCTCTCGAGGAAACCAGCTAGGCGGTGGTGTACTCATAGCAGTGCGCAGGGATCTCTCGGTATACTCATTCGGGGTTATGACTATGCCTGAAGCGGCAGCTGAAGTAGTCCAGGTATCTATTAAAATTAAATGTTCTTCCAAGACAGAGTTGGTTCGTATATTATGTGGCTATTTCCCACACTGTACCCTACACTTTGACTGCTTATGTGGCTTTTTTGAAAACGTATCTGACATCGTTCTAAATAATCCAAATGACCATTGTCTCATATTAGGTGACTTCAATATACCTTCAGCACAATGGTCTCGCAGTGGGTCTGAACTGTTGATTAATGTTTCATCCAAGGACCACGATAATCTGACTCAGGCTCTACAAAGCTTCCTAAGTTTTACGAATCTGAAACAATTTAATGACATACCCAATGTAAATGACAGAGTTCTTGACCTTGTTATCAGTGATAGAAATTGCGTGGTTGGACGATGTAGAGAACCGCTAATAAATGAGGATGCCCACCATCCCGCTCTGGATGTGAACGTGCAATCCTTATCTTTGCGTTCATTTCCATCTATACCGCGGACCGTTCCTCTTTTCGGTAAGGCTGACTATGACTGCATTAACAATGCAATTATGTCCATTGACTGGCGGTTTTTAGATCATAGCACCGACATTGATATGGCCGTGGTGAGATTTTATGAGACAATAAACGATGTTATCTCAAAATACGTCCCCACTAAAACTTTTAAAAGCGATAATCGCTACCCGCCCTGGTTTTCATCTGCTCTTATTAAGATAATTAAAGAAAAGCTTAAATACCACAAAAAATGGAAGATTTACCATCGTCAAAGCGATTACGATACTTTTTGTCTCCTGCGCGAGCGGCAGAAGCGGGTGCAAAGGGAATGTTATGACAAATTCATTTTTAATGCAGAAATAAAAATAAAAATAAACAGCAAATATTTTTGGACATTTGTTAAATCAAAAAAATCATCTTCCTGTCTACCAGATACAATGTTCTATAATGAAACTGTATCTACCGATGGGAGGGATATTTGTGACTTGTTTAACAATTACTTTCGCTCAGTTTTTGAACCCTCTGTTTCGGACTATACACAAGCTGGACTCTTAAACGATTCAAATCCATTAAAAGTGATTAGTACTATTGATATCGCTGCAGACACGGTGGAGAAATACTTGAAATTACTTGATATTACTAAGGGGTGTGGGCCTGATGGCATTCCACCCATCTTTCTCAAACTCTGTAGCAAATCTTTGGCTTACCCTATATGTATTTTATTTAATTTATCCTTGGCTAAGGGTACAATGCCCGATTTATGGAAGCAGTGTCATGTCGTTCCGATTTACAAGTCTGGCGATAAACACAATGTTCAAAACTATAGGCCAATTTCTAAAATTAGTACTATACCTAAACTATTCGAAAAAATTATTTACGATGTAATTTATCCAATTTTGAGGCCTGTAATTGTACCTCAACAGCATGGCTTTATTAATAAAAGATCAACAGAAACCAATCTTTGTGAATTTGTTCACCGAGTTTCAGTGGCAATGGACAAGGGTTACCAGGTGGATGCTGTGTACACAGATTATTCCAAAGCTTTTGACAAGATCCCGCATTCGACTCTCGTTCAAAAGATTAGTGACATGGGTATTCATGGCGACCTTCTGCGATGGTTTGAGTCCTACTTGAAGCAGCGGAGTCAAGCGGTTACCATCAAAGGTTTCTGCTCTTCGTTTGTGCCTGTATCCTCTGGGGTACCCCAAGGCTCTCATCTGGGCCCTCTTTTATTTAATTTATTTATCAATGACATCGTATCAATTTTTAAAAACACTGACATTCTAATTTACGCTGACGACATGAAAATTTTTAAACAAATTAAATCACCTTACGATTGTGTTTTACTGCAAAATGACCTTGACGCGCTTTGTGCTTATTGTAATTTTAATCATTTGACTCTCAATATAAATAAATGCAATTCTATCTCGTTTTCGCGGAAAGCGAAGCCGATTGACCATCATTACCACCTAAATAACATAGTTCTTCAAAGAGTGACAGAGGTGAGAGATCTGGGAGTTCATTTAGATTCCAAATTGACATTTAAAACACACATAGACATCATGACTGCTAAGGCTTACCGAATGCTGGGATTCGTTTTAAGAACGGGAAGAGATTTTAAACTATGTTCTACAGTTTCATTACTTTACAACTCGTACGTAAGGTCCATTCTGGAGTATGCATCATCTGTCTGGAACCCACAATACAAAATATACATTGACTCAATAGAAAAAATTAACAAAAAGTTTGAAAAACACTTACGTTACAAAGCTGATAAGTTTGGCGGAACACTTCCTAATGTACCATCTCTTTTAGACCGTCGCATTGAGAAAGACCAAGTCTTTCTCTACAAAGTTTTAAATAACCATGTTGACTCCTCTTTTTTGTTAAGTAATATTAGTTTTAGGTGCCCTCGGACGAGTTCGCGTTCTACAAAACTTTTTTCTATTTCTCTCACTAGGACTAATTATGCTAGCAACAATTTTGTACCTAGATCTTGTAAGGAATATAATAATAGGTTTAACACGATTGACATTTTTAATTCTTCCTTACCATCTTATAAAAAACAATTGAGAGAATGTTTGAATATACCTATAACTTGATTTTAATTTTGACCTACATAATTATTGTGTTTTTAATTTATATAATTTTATTAATATTTAACTTTTTGACATTTTATAATTTTTATTAAATTTAACTGCTTGACATTTTATAAGATTGACATTGTATTTATTTGACATTTAGAAATTAATGTATAATTTATTACTATTTAATTAATTTTTAGTCTGCACTCTGTATTAATTTTAACTGTGGAAACTTTGCTGATTTCTGTCCTATTTTTTGTGTGATTATTTGTCTGTATATCAAAATTGTTTGTTTCCCTAATATAAATAAATAAAAATAAAAAAATAAAATGAGATTTAAGTCAGACACTTGAGATTTGATAATGTAGATTTCATTTTAATGTAGTTTTAGACTATGGTCGGGTGCTGGTCTATCATTGAGTGATGTGTGTGTCAACATAAGTCAGTTGTACCCGCGGGCGACGCGGCAGCAGCTGGAGTGGCGCCCGCGTCGGATATTAGAAATAGTTAGTTTGAGTTGACATCAGCGATATAAATACATAAATGTAGATTTCATTTAGGCCGGCAATACACGGACAGGTCGAGCAATTAGTCAGTGATCAACATACAGGAACCGCTCTTGCAGTCAAGAGTCAACAGCTTGAAGCTTCCAGTGATAACTGCTCGAGCAGTTGGTATTAACTGCTCAACAAATCACAAGCGCGCGCGCCGTGGAATGAAGAAAGTGGGCGGAGGTAACTGCGCGAGAGCTGTCGACAGCTCGAGCAGTCAGTGTATGGCTGGCGACTGCTTGACCGCACGATGAAAATTCACCGTGCTGTCGACCGCCCGAATCAGTTGCAACCGCTCGAGCGGTTCGTGTATGTGCGTCCATAGAACTCTGCAGTTCACTGTGCAGTCGCAGCTTGAAGCTGTCGACCCTGACTGCTTCAAGCGGTCCGTGTATTGCCGGCCTTAAGCTTTGGTCGGGTGCTTGTCAATAATTGAGTGATGTGTGTGTCAACATAAGTCAGTTGTACCCGCAGCAGGCGATGCGGCAACAGATGGAGAAGAGTCTTCGGATGTTAGAAATACTTAGTTTTGAGTCCGACATCAGCGATATAATTACAATGTAGATTCTATTGATCGGGTGCTTGTCAATAATTGAGTGATGTGTGTGTCAACATAAGTCAGTTGTACCCGCAGGCTCGCGCATCATTGAATATTTTGATAATCTAGATTCCATTTAAGCTCTGATCGGGCGCTGGTCTATAATTGAGTGATGTGTGTGTCAACATAAGTCAGTTGTACCCGCAGACTCGCGCATCATTGAATATTTGAAATATGAGATTTACACCTGAGATTTGATAATGTAGATTCCATTTAAGCTATGATGGGGTGCTTGTCTATGATTGAGTGATGTGTGTGTCAACATAAGTCAGTTGTACCCGCAGGCGACGCGGCAGCAGCTGGAGCGGCTGCCGCGGCGCGCGGGCGCGTCGGGCGGCGCGGGGCCGGCGCCCGCGCACGCGCCGCAGCCGCAGCCGCAGCCCGCCGCGCCCGCGCCCCAGCCCGACGCCAGCGACTCGCAGTTCCTGCTGTCCGGATTCTTAGGTCAGTTGAGAGATTGTTGTTTTTTTATTGTAGTGTGTAATCGATCTTTGTGGCATAACTCAATGAACAATATCTACCATTATCGTATTTGTATCACAAAATTCCAGATGCTTTAAATCGGTATACAGAATTGACTCTTTTTTTTACCCAAAAAGACTAGTTTATTGATAAATTGAAACAGACAAAGTTGAAGACCGCATGTTATTTGTATATTTTCTTTCATCTGCATTGAGTAAATCCTAGTGCACAAACACACCACCTTGTAGGTAGGTAGTATAGTATGCACTAAAAATAAATCAATAAAAAAAAAACAATCTAAAAATACATACAAACAAGATAAAAAAAGGCTAGCGTGAGGTCAAAAATGATAATGTAAATAACGTTGTCACTATTTTGTATATTACGCAGGTAGTGCGTTACCTGCGCGTGATGGAAAAATAATCGACATAAAAATTCCGCAGGAGCATCGAATACCCCCGCGGCCGCGGAGACGGAGTCCCGGGTGGCGCTGCTCCGGGGCCTGATGCTGGCGTCGCTGGGCCGGCCGCCGCCGCTGGCGCGCGCCCCGCCGCCCGCGCCCCGCGCGCCGCCCGTGCCCGCGCGGCACCTATTCCGTTTTAAAAAATACTTGATCCACCTAGTATTTTATAAATTACACGATTTCCGACCCTACCCTGAAAGTAATAGAGGTTATTATTGCGTAATCCGTAGTCGTGTATTACGCGCACCTAGTGTTTCTCGCTAAGCTTATGTGCGAACGTAGAGATTCACTTCGTCTCTGTCTGACCAAACAAATTTGAGCGCGACGAAGCAAACGCACACAAACGTAGTCAAACCATAATATTCATGTAGGCAAATAAGAAAAAAGTATGTAAATATTTTTATGAAATTGATATCTTTTAAATACGCCAACTTTTAAGTTGACAGTCCAAAGCCTGTTGAAGTATGAAGGGAGGAATTATGTTATTATTCAATTTCAAATTGCATTATTCATACTACGGTTGTATCTTTTCAAAGAAAATTGTATTTTAAAGTCACATTACTTGGATTAGTCCGCACTAGTCGCGTCAAGTATGATAAATTACTACGTACTAGGTGGAACAGGTATTTGGATCGAGTATTAATAAATACTTGGAATAGGTGCACCTAGTATCAAATTTACCTAGTATAACCCATGTCTACACCAAGGTACGCGCGCCGCCCGCGCTTGACAGCTAGCGCGCTCCTGCGCTGGCCGCCTCCGACCGGTGCGCCGCCGACCGCGCGTCCGTCGTCCTCTGACAGCTGGCGCGCCGCGCCGATGCGCCAACAGGCAACGGCGCGTCGCTGCGCGGGCGTCAGCCTTTGACAGGCGCGGTGATGCGCCACAGTAGATCGTCGCTTTTTGACAGCTAACAGCATATCGATGCGCTGTTTATCGTGTAACGACGTTGTCGCCCTTTGGGTTATTTTGACTGGACCGGAGGCGGAACGTATCGAAGCCTCCGATGAATGTATCCGATATCGGTTTGGGGAAAATGGATTTCTCTTATAATTTCAATATCAATCGTAGGGGCGATACCGTTCCCGGAACGCACCCGTCGAGTGAAAATATCGGGGAAAGTCCGGAAACGTCCCCGACCCATCGAGTTTGACCGCCAATATCCCGGCTCTCGTGGCCGCCGGCAGTGTGCTGAGCGCGCGTTGTGTTGCAGGAGGCGGCGGCGCGCGCGCTGGCGGCGGCGCGGCAGCTGCCCGAGGGCAGGTAGTGTCGGGGCCGCGCCCGCCGCGCCGCGCCTGTATAGACATCGGTAGATGAAACTATTTAACGTTCGCTCCTTAGATATTACGGTAGTCTATCTGATTTTATTTATCCCGGAGGCCGCGCCCGCGCTCTGTACATACCGACGCCGGCCGCGGTCCGCCGCCGCCGACGCTCGCGGCGGCCGCTTCCCTTTGTTTGTTGGCTTTCCGAGTATCCGTGTGACTTCGTTATCGTAGAGTGTGATAGTCGCGGAGCGTCCTCGCCGAGAGGAGTCGCCGCGGGCGCCGGCCCCCGCTTCTTAGAGCCCGCTCCGGCGATTGTACAGTGAGGCGTAGTTTTTGTTCTTTTGTTATGTTCTGCATAGAATTGAGAGTTAATTATACGCGTATAGTTACCCTTGTAATTGTAAATTAATAATAATTGTGGAGACTCCTCTCTAAATTTTTAATACAAACGAATGCGACACCCACAGATTCACTAGCTATATTAAGAAGTGCTTATTAGTTTGATTATTATACTCCAACATTACAAAAAGTTTGTATGTACCCTAAATAAATTCTATAATATTAAAATATGCATTTCATTATTTAATTTCACTAAAATTACGTGTAACTTTGTATCATAATATAAAACACATGGCCCTCGGTTGCGTTATGGAGTCTGATCAAACTGCTTTGTTTAAAATTGTACGAAAGATATTTACAGCACCCCTACTTTCGAATCCGATTTTAGCAGGTGGGTGTTGAAAATCAGGGATCTAGATTGCAGCGACATTTACTCGATTACAAAAATTTCACACAAACAGTATCCGCGATCTCTTGAGGTAAAGCACACTTCGCACACGCTGCAAAATTGGTTCCGAAAGGTGTGCTTTTTATCTTTTGCTCTTGTGTAGTATTCTGTGTAACTTCACTTTTTCAATTCCCATTCTGCTTAGATCTCGATCTCAATGCCTAGCGGGTCAGGCTGTCTACTGTTTCTGTTCACACTGTAACACTAGGCAGGTAATATCGGCAACAGTGTTACTTACCCATTGCCGGTCATGTTGTCTCGTTCTATCGCAAAGAATCACCATTTGATGAGCGAGAGCAAAAACGGAAATGGATAGTTAACACTGTGGCCGATAGTACAGGCATCTCATGCGCTGTAATCTAAAGTTAGAGCGCCGGTAGGAGTGAAGCGCCCACCGGCTTCACCACCAAGCGCAAACCAGTAGGTTTCTGTGCATTTCTTTAACAGCAACACAGACTATACAAATTCCTGTCTGCGTTCGGCTTTAAACTACGAAAGTTTGGGATATACTTCCGCTAAAACGTAAATTCAATAGGCTATTTTATTGTTCCTATAAACGTGGCTGAACGTGTAAACAGCTGTAAATCGGATTCTAGGTCAGGGTAAGATAAGCTTCACTTGTCTTGTAAAATTGCAAAAATCGACTTCATTAACAATAAGGGTGGTTAGTGGGCTTAATCACTGTGTTTCACTTATTGTTGCTCATCCTTTTTGTTATTTTAGATTAACCGTAACTATTATTATTTTACTAAATCTGCAAAACAACAATGTAAAGCACTTTATTCTTAAATAAAAATATATTATACAAACATGTAGTTTAGTTCAACATTTGCAAAAATGTTTTCCTGTCAAACCATTTCCTGTCCCAAGTTGGTATCTACTTAATGGAATGTCGACGAGACCACCATTGAAGAGAAAACGGTAAAAATAATTATAGAAAATATTTAGCAGAGCAGACTTTACAAAATTGACAAAATACACATCACATCTCCGCTCCGCCTCAATAGCGGAGTTAAAATTAATTACATGTAAAGTCCGGTCGCCGAGAAGATAGAATTTCGTCCAATAACCCCAAGCTACCCATCCTTATCGCTCGGGTGTAATTATATCGCGGTCGCACACTCACTGCGGCCGCTCGTCACACAACAGTCAGTCGCGATAAGTTTGCAATTAACTTGCATCTGAGTGGCAATTTCGTACTAATTTAAAATCGTTTTCATGACTTACGTCTGTTTATGAACTTTATTAGGTCCTAATCATTATATAGTCCAGTAATTTAAGCTTAAATTAGGTAAGAATCTCGGAATTCGAGATACCCAGCTGTAAGTCTGTAAATACGTATATTGACACCCTAAAAGTTGTCTCAAAACCTACATATGGTAGGGAGTAAGCTCAGATCATAGAAAGAGAATAGATATGAAGTCGCGCGTAACTACAACGAGAACCAGTGTCCCCACATTTCCCCCACCACAGCTCCCACACACACATTCAACTGACACTGTGTAAAAACAAAGCGACTGAGAGTGTACGACAACATGTGCAACCGGCTTAAAAGTGCTGTGATTGGCCAGAAGGCGTGCCTTATGGCCAATCAATGGCCGCGTGACGTGACGCACACATAGAAAACGCTAGTGAGAGAACAAAGATAAAATGGAGTCGACAAGATATCGATACTTTAAATCGCTAGGGGCAAGGCTCGAAACTGGTTTCACAAAATGCTTATGTATGAAAACCTTTTTATTATTATACGTTATTATTAACTACTATCACGCATTTATTTTTTAATTATGGCGATCTGCGTACCGCATAATATGTTTATCAAAAATAATGCCTATATTAGGCTTTCAACTAGCTCTTATAGTAATCTGGGGGCACGGCAGTGCCCCCACCAAGTCGAGCAAAAAAGCGGCACGGCCGTACCATCCTTTTCTCGAAGCAATTCAGTCCATTTTCGACTACCTGTAACTTCGTTGTGGATAAAACTAGAAGGCTGAATTTTCATTAGCTATGCAGGCATTGTAAAGACACGGTATATTTAAAATTTCATTCAATTTGAATCAGTAGTTTAAGAATTATGACGGGTCAAAGTTACTTAATTTTGTCACTCACTGACTCACTGACTGACTCACCGATCATCAAAATTATAAGGCACTTCTAGCAGACCTAGAAGCTTCAAATTTGGAATATAAGTAGTGTTTGGTGTATGAATCAAGGAAAAACTAAAATATTTGGGGGCACGGTAGTGCAACCGCCAAGTCGAGTAAAATTTTTCAATTTCGGTCCAGTTTTCTAGATACATTTACTTCTATTTATCGATAATCGGAAACCGCGTTAGAACACGAGCACGGCACTATGTTACGACCGGCACATGCGGCCGTACTGTGTATTTTCACACGACAGTGGATATCGGAAGAAATTAAATACATTGCGCAGTAGTTGAGCATGACATAAAGTGGTTGCTAATAACTAAATCGTCAATGTACAAGCGTGTTAGAATTTTTATCACCACTGATTTCGATATCGCAGTAACTGTTACGGCACTGAATTCGTTCGTAAAAATGTTTAGTTCTTTTTATTTATAAGCAAAATACCAATGGATTTGTAATACTTACATGTAGTAAATGACTCCATTGTTCCTGTAGTTCTTCGTTTCACTTGTTTTATTGCACGTAACGACGCATTATCCAAAATATCGGAGAACATTTCCTTAGTACGACTGAATCGCGACTAACCTAGCTACGCGGCCGATGTTCGTTTCTGGGCATATCGCGGAGACACGCGCCACGCCCCCGTTTCACATCTATTCCCTTCTATGATCTGAGGGAGTAAGCAACTATTAAATTTCAAGGTCACAAAAATCGTTTTTTTGCGCTTTTTTTTAGAAATATCTCATTTCCTATGGGTTTTTTGCTATTTGTATTTATTATGAATATTGTAGGATACGTATCTCGAATTCCGAGGTGAACTTACTATAATGACTGGACTAATAGAAACCCTGGAAAACTTATCCCCACTGGTAGCGATAAATGGAAATAAAAATCCAACTATCCCCACCCCACCAGTGCAATGGTAGAGATTTAAGGAGCAAAATATTCCATAATATTATCCCTTCCGATAGCTTTAAGTGGAAAAGGGTATTTCGCCGAAACATTAAATTTTTGTGTCCAGGCAGGCGAACACATGTTTTTTTATATCTATCTGTATAACTAAAACTATTTTTATGGGATAGTTCATCAAAAGTTTTATTTGTTTTTGCTATTACAATAGTAGAAACTACAAATAATACCGTAGAAAAACTTAATCAAAAGTCGTTTTTCTAATTTCCTTGTTATGTCCATTACTGTTGTTTGCCAAAATGAAGGCACATTATAAAAAATTGAAGCGTAATTTAATTCTAATAGCACTCTCTTTACATTTGAGAAACGTTTGGCTATCGGAAAATAAAAACTTTCAATGTCAAATACTTATAGGAAGAAAATAAAGTGAAGTTAAGTTCTTGTCCAGGTCAAAAGTATAATTTCCCTGGGTCTTCTTTTCGACCATTGTAGTAACAAAACGAAAAAACTTAGAATCCCAAGAGGCCATCAAGGCAGGATAGTACATCGTTGATCAGTTTCGCGACAAATCGCGTAAGTAGGTCCCTCCTTGGGTTTTTGTTTACTAAAAAGTCAATTTCTTTGGGCGGTTTTTTGCAGCTAAACAACAATGGATTAATTTAATGTTTATTTACACAAATGTAGTGTCTGTAGGGGTTAACCCATGATTTAAATAGTAAATGGATAGGGTAAATAGGTTTTTGTCTGTGGTGTCTTTTAGGCATAAATCTAATTTCTTTGGCCCTAATTTCCTTGTTTTCCGTGGCTTAAAATGGCCTAGGAAATTATAAAAGACCATTTTTAATTCGGCGCAAAGTCAAATTTTTTGTATTTTTTTATTGGAATAAGTTTAAAATTTACATTTTAAGAAATGGGTATCAGAATAGATATAGCACAACTTGTTTTTAACTCATAACTCAATCTACTGCATTTATCTTCCTTAGTTGTGTAAAAACGTTATAATGATAAAATATTCATTTGTGTTTGCTTACGAAGGTACACTAAAATGGGTCGAATTAAAAAAAAGCAAACCACAGAAGAAAACTTAGAGAAAACAATATTTATAATAATTTAGTTGGCTACCAAAATTTTATGACCTCATAACTTTGTTTCTAGAACGAATTATGACACCCCTTTTAGATACATTGGATTAGTTTTTGCTTCTTAATGCAATGGAAAAATAAAAATAGTTAAAAACAAAAAAAAAATTGGTGCCAAGGAAATTAGGCAAAATCGACCATTTTTGGCGAAATACCCAAAAATCCAAATTAGATTGGATTTTTTTAAGTAAGTTTTCACTGGTATATTTTATGTCTGTAGGGTTATGTGGGATAGGGGCGCAGGATCGGTCTTTGTGGAAAACCTTGGGGGAGGCTTTTGTCCAGCTGTGGACGTCTTTCGGCTGAAACGAACGAACAGATTTGAACTGTAAATCAAAGTTTTCCACAGCAATACCTACTACTTCTGCATAAGATTGAATTTAACTGAATCCTTCAGATTCTAAATCTTGCATCATGAGATGGGATCATATTACTCGAAAGTCGGATTGCCTTTTGATCCCGAAATAGCTCTATCGTCATCTATGATCTTTGGTAGTCGGTATAATCTGTGTTTACTATCTGTCAAATATGTCAACGTGGACGTATTGAATCGCAAAACTTGTTTCGATTCTTTTTGTTTGTCTCTTTCAGACATGACAGCTTACCGACTTGAGTAAGAGAGATATAAATATATCGAAATTGTTTTACGGACCCGATAACTTTTTAGTTCTTCTTTCAGATTCGGAGAAGTTTTATAAAAAGTCTCTCATTCACTTAATTACTTTTCTCTATGCTGAATTATAATATTGTAAATACTGGACATAGTCCTATCGTCCACAATGGCTAGTGAAGAGCATAAGGAACTAGCAAGCTATCTGAAAAACGTTCATTCTAAACTCAGAAAAGCGTCTGCAAAGAATGGTTCAGACAGAGCATGGCTGGACCACTGTGCAAATAAAGATGTTTTAGAGACGTATGCTCATTGTATGGAGAAATTAGCAACTACTCATTGGACGACGAACTGCGCCAGTGATACCAGTGGAGCAACCTCGCGAATTCAGTGGACTGCAGATTTTTGTTTTGATTACTTTTTGAATGAACAGTACATGAGATTCAAAGCAAAAGAAAGAAATATAGCAGAAAAAAATAATTTAGTTCAAGATGAAGATGAGCACTTTTCAAATCCTGTTCATTTCCTAGATGTTGGGAGTTGTTACAATCCTTTTAAAGTGTATGAATATTTAAATGTATTTGCTATTGACTTATGCCCTGCTAACAACAGTGTATTGCAGTGTGATTTTCTTAATGTATTAGTTGGTGCAGAGACCATTATTAACAATTGTGAGGTTAAACAAATGCGTTCATCCTCATTTGAAGTTGTAGCCTTTTGCTATTTATTAGAATACATACCAGATTCAAATTTAAGAATATTAGCATGTCAAAAGGCATACAGTCTTCTGAAACCTGGTGGGTTGCTGATTATAAATACCCCAGATTCAAAACATGTTGGAGCTAATTCCAAACTTATGAAATGCTGGAGATATACTTTAGCATGTATTGGTTTTATGAGAATCAAATATGAAAAATTCAAGCACATGCATTGCATGGCATTTAGAAAGACACTGCACAAAGATGTTGCTATAAGGTGGGCGACAATACATAAGGAACTTGGTATGGAATATGCAATTAACATACCACAAGACTTTAATGAAGATCCTGATGAGTCATTACTGGATAAAGGAGTACAAAGTGACATTAAAGACTTTCAAGAATTACCTTTTTGTTTTGGTTGACTATTTAATAAAATAAATCTTCATAAATTCCAAATTATTTTTATTCAAATGCATTTTATAAGTACATGAAGACATGAAAAAATGGAAAACCAAGTAATGAACAATTATTTAATACAGTATGCTTACTGTCAAGTTACAACTAACAATGTTAGAATCTATTTAATTCAAACTCACATACATCCCTCAGTCAAATCTATTTAACTTTCCCAAATTTTTCTTTGCGCTTTTCAAGCCTTTCTTTGTTCTCTATATCTGTCATTATTTTAGATACAGACTGTCCAAATCTCTCTGCTCTTTTCTTCAGTTTGTCTATATTCTCTGATAAAGATCCTGTGGTCCCTGTACTTAACACTCCAGAAGTAGCAGTGCCAGTCCCTTGACCAAATCTTTGTTTTCTGGCTTCCTTTCTTTCAGCTTCACTCATTTTGACTGGCAAGCCAAATCTCTTTGCTCTCATTTCTAATCTTGTTTTAGGGTCAATTTCAGCTGTTATGCGGATTTTGTTACTTTCAGAAGGTTTATTGTCATCCAGAGGCTTGTTTTGTGTCGGTTCTTCTACAACTGGTTTTGGCTGAGTTGATGTTGACCGATTTAGTACAATTTTCTTTGACCCTGAATCCTTGTCTGCGGACTTGTCTTTATCAGTCTCTGACAAAGTTATCTTTCTTTTCAAAACCCTGTGCTTTGTTTCGGGAGCAGATTTAACGGGTGGTGGGTTGTCAGCTAATGCAAGTTCTTCATTTATGGTGTCAACTGCAGAGTCATCCAGAATATCAGTCTGGCTTTTATCATCTTCATCCTCTAGTACACCGTCCGAATCTATTTCGTCTGAATCAAGGTTAATGTCGCCGTGATCATCTTGAGACATTGCTGCTTGGAGCCTTGCGACTAGTTCCGCTTTATCACCAGCATACGACAAACCTCGGGATTTTAATTCCTTCCTTAAGTCTACTACCTTCATCTTAGATACATCGGTAACTGTGGAATCTGCCATAATTTAGTGTTTTTTTTTCTGAAATAGCTATAGTTTTTATGAATACCTGCTCGTACTCCAACAAACAAAATTTTATCAGAGAAAATAACACACCCACAGATTAGAGAGTAACACACCCGGCCCAGCGCGCCGGATTTGACAGTGACAGAGAGTGACTGACAGACAGACCAAATGACAGACAGCTTTTTTTTTCATAGAAGTTTTACGGCTTTGGATACATTACTTTTTTTACCACAGATTTATAAGGACTTTAGTTTAGCAAAGATGTTATAAGCTTTAGAGAGAAACAAAAGTAAAGGTTGCGCAACGAAAGTTGAGCGAATACACTGACTGATGTATTATTGGAATACAGTGGAAATTCTCACTGAGTGAGTCGTGAGAATATGTATGTAGTGACAAAAACAGTTTGAGACGGGAGCGCGGCAAGCATTTATAAAAAAATACAAAGTCATTGCTTGAATTATGTTCCCTTGAGGGTTTGATGATCCTTTTTTTATTCCAAATAATGATGAGTTCCAAAATACAGCCCCCCTAGACAAAACGCACTTTTTGATCGAATCGAAAATCGAATCCGTCAAATTCCATACAAAAAAGGGGCTTTTCGACCACTTTTCGACTGGTTTGCGATTATAATGGCACTTTGTCTAGACCCACTGGACTGTCTGGGGCGCCACCGTCAATACCGGATCGCTGGTTCAGATTTTTGCCATGTTGGAAACCATATAGTTGAACGATGGTAGCGCCCCCCTGTCATTGAGTTTGGCGGGACAGTTCAGCGTGGGTCATCTATATCTCTTTGTTCTAAGCACTTTTTTTTTACAGATCTTATTAAGTTGTCAGTGTCAACTGTCAACACTGTCAGTCAACATGACAGTACGGTCTGTGGTCGCAAAGTATTATTTATTTTCTTTGAGTTTGTTCGGTTTCTCCTAGAATTTAAAATAGATTTATGTGAATTTATTTAATTAATGTATTGAGATTGATTCTGACAAAATGAATTCATTTCTCGATAGAGAGATGGAATTGGGTGATACAGACCATTTATTAGATAAAATGTTATGTGATTATGACGATACTGTAATGTCTTTGCCGGCCTTTGAAGCTGAACCGCATCTTCTAATATCCAAAGTAAGGTTTATCTCCAAAATAATTTCACAACTTACACGTACCTTAATCTTACTTTTAATTTTATATGCTCATTTTAGGTTCGTAAACATTATTTTGAATATGTGATAAAGTTACTTTCTGTCAACTATGAACAGAACCAAAAACTCCTCAATAAGAATATTTATTTGCCAAGCGCTATCTGGAGGTGCGCGAAATCTATAGAAATGAATGCTGCACAGACGTGCATGGTTGTGCAACTATATAGAAAAAGTATTGTTGCAGTTGTAAGTATTAGTGGTAGTAGCATACAATTTGTAAAGTTATAACTTTCCATTATTACACATTGATTGATGCTTGCAATGTATTGTCTTCTAGCTTTTGAACTTTAATATGTAATTCGATTTGTAGATCAAAGAATTAAAAAGTGATACAAAGAATGGTAAATTACACAGAAAATTGTTTGAATATCTCCGCACACCTCCTGGAAATGATAAAAAAACACAAACTGAGCCAATTAATGTCAATGACTGTATGTGTCAATGCGCCTGTAACTCACAGAAGAAACGCCGTAAAGTACCCATGTCTCCCGTGGGCAACCATATTGATAAGCTAAATAATGGAACAGCTGCAGAATACCAGAACACCAATCAACCCATATACACTATACCAGTAATAGAGAACCTACACGTAGATAGTCCACAAATGGCTAAAGAAAAAAATCTCATCAGTGATCAAACACTTCAAACTCAAGGCATGCCAGTTATGCTCACTAAACCAAATATGTTATCAATGAATCAAAGCACAAGAATGTCCATTGAATCACAGGATTCAGATGATTTAATGCAACAGATGGAAAAGCTGTTCCAAGGTGATTCACAGGAAGATGATATTTTTGAAGGTGGACTGTGTGATGCTTATGAAACTATAGTACATGAAGATGGAGCCAAAAAAAGTACTGAACCAAATTCTGCATCAATCCCAGAATCAGTGATAGAAAATCATGCAGCACAGATCAAGTCATTAGATGAAAGAGTATCTTCTCTTGTTGGTCTTTTGGTCAATACCAATGACAGTAATATTCCACAAGAAAAACCAGAAGAAAACCCAAAAATAAAAAAAAGAAACTCTAGTAAGTGGATTTGTGAGGAATATTTTCTCAAATTAAAGCTGTATGAATTGTTAGATGAAATAGGGGATAAGAACAGAAAAAAGCTTGCTCGGGTAAATATGATCACAATCATTATTATGTTATTTACTGGCACTTTCTAATTATTACAAATTTTAATTTCAGATAAAAGAAATGTTTACCGAGTTGTTTGGTGATGATAGTGATGATGAAGGTATCATGTCACCTCTGGAAGAAACGCCTGAATTTGTTATCAGCTGCAAAGAGCGTATTGCGCCTTGGGTCATAAAACTTCTCACACCATTTTACATCAAAGGACGGATTAGAGGCAGAGCACTGTTTAAAGCAGTAGCTAAGCATCTTATACGGCTGATATATCAGTGCAGTAAATACCCTCGTAAGTTGCTTTTTAGTACTTTGAAATGCTGTTATGTATTTGTTATTTATATTTGCATCAACTTGTAGATGCTGCCCTCACAGTTCCATCTCATTCATATTATCAATTTTTATTGCAGACGAATATGAAGTTCACAGTTTTGTATCAGACTTCCTTGAGAATCATAAAATGATAAGATGTGAAGCTGATTTCAAGCAATTTAGGATTGATAATTTGTGAACACCACTAAATTGTTATAATGCAAGTTTTGTTTTCGTTATGTAAAAGGGAACAATAAATCATTTATGTTTACTGCCTGTTATTTGTGAATGTTTAATTATGTTAGCCTAATAAATACACCATGGGAAACCATGCATAAAGGAAAAGAGTGTGACAAGGCAAGAAATGAAATTAGGATGTAAAAAAAAACGGCATGTGCAGGACCTTCTAAAAGAATTGTAAAGTATTCAGATTAGTAATGATTGCTGGAAGAGTTATAATATAAAGTCGTAAAACCATACGTAAAACAATACCGCGGCGGTAAGTTTTTATTTTGTTTTCTTTACTGAATTTTAAAACTGCTTGAGCGAATCATTGTTTTGCAAATCTGTGACGCAAGTTTGTACTTAAATGTTTCATGACTGGTTGAAATGCAATATTTAGTGCAGACAACAGCACATTAGCCTAAACAATGCGGTATCTCATGTACCTAATGGTAATAGGTGCTATTTTATTTGCAACAAACAAGAGTCTGATGTGCTGCCGTACTACTTATCTATACATTTTATGAATTTATGCAGGTCGTGCATTGTGCATGAGTCGCAAATTAGTGTGCTGCCACACTGGCGGTTTGCAAGCGTTTTCAGAGCGGAGCGGCAGCGAAGATGTCGCGGCTGCGCGGCAAACACGAGGCAAAGAAAACTCTAGGCGGAAACGTTGCGCATCCGCACGAAAACGCTTAAAATGCGCCAGTGTGGCAAGGCCCTTAAGAGTAGCTTGTGTCTCACGCGCAGGTGTAAGTTACTATTGATGATCCATAGAAATATGACCTGATGATTCAGAAAGAAGTCGGAATTTATTTACAAAGCTTCAAGCGCCTCATGTTACGTTGTCGGCTTAGATCAGCGATTTTAGTTTGCGACCACATAATAGTAGATGGCGGCGGTGAGTTTCTAGTTAATTCTTGGATACAGATTTAATATCTAATGCCTTGAGTTTTTATTTTGTAATTAGGTGGTAAACAAAACAGCGTGCGTTACGGTTTTGAAATACGATTTATTACGTGCTCGGTGAATACGACTACGAGTTTAAATACAATTCGTTCGTGCTTAGGGTACTGCATCAGTTACGTTACTTATAATGTTTTGTTGATGTTTTTGTATCGAAGAATAAACCTTACTTAGTTTTTCAAAACATTTTACTGTGTGTGGCATAGATAGATCGATCGCCAACATGTGAACAACAGTTTTTAATAATTAACCTATGAGGTGGGTAGTCTTAAAAAAAAGTTGTAAGTTAGGAGCAATTAATTTTTTTTTGGCATTTTAGAATCTGATGCCTTGTCTTCTTCACTCTTTCGTTTTTCGGCCCTCTGGAACCATGAAGATAGAGTTTTTTGTTTATGTTTGTCTTTCTTTTCTTCTATCAGCCTATTGTTGCAGTCATCAGATTTGTTTTTGGAGTTATTGACGAGAGTTGAAACTGGGTGCCAGGATAAAATTGTTACAGGTTTTAGAAGAGAAAGAGCTATTTCTGCTGGCACATTATCTATATCCAACCATGCCTGAAATGAATTTAAAATACATTAGTTTGGGCGAAACTCTGGTCATTGTATTGAGAAAATCGCCATATCAATAATTTGGCTGTTATTTTAATTTGGTCCTATAAGGTCATGGCAATTCTTTTAAAAGTATTGATATCAAGTCATACCATAGAAATTACTACAGTGTGACAGCAATCTCTACCAGTCAACCTTAGTACCTACCTAATGTAGAGTAAATGATGATTGGTGGATCAATTTAAATATTATTAATTAATAATTACCTCAATTTGTTCTTGTTTGTGTAAAATAGCTGGCATTCGGTGATGTAACCAATTGAATGTGTTGTTTGATTCCATTGTGATGACAGAGTATGAATACATAACTTTGTCTTCATTTTGCCATACATTATAGAGTCCTGCCATGTGTAAAAGGCGCAGTCCCATCCAACCATTCTCTTCATTATAATCATTGTTCCATGTTTTAGGACTTTTAGGGTCTTCGACCTGTAATGATAAACAAAATAATTTTAAATTAAATTTTAAGTCTTCATAATATATTTAGGTATTTTAATTTACTACCTTTATATTTTCCTCTTGTGGAGCATAGATATAGTAAGGTTGCTTTATCTTGGAAGTTTTATTTGTGGTTTGCCATTCATAAAAACCTTCAGCAATGATTATACATCTACCGCCATCTTTCAGAATTGGACTGTAAAGTTTTGAAGACTGTATGGTCTCTATTCTGCAATTGTTTGTGCTTAAGTTGTGAGTCTTATAGTCGCCCTGTAATTTTTTAACTATGTATTAATTAATTAATTAATTGCTTATTAAACAATATTAGAAGTAATGCTGACCTTATGCCACGGGGGTATAATGCCCCACATCATAGGTTTCAGTACCCGGGAAGTTTTAGTTGCATTTTTATATTTACTGGCTGATACTAATACTGGAGTGACATCAGTGGGAGCTATGTTGTAAGAAGGAGTATATTCCTTGCCATCATTGTGTTCAGGGAGCCAGTCTGGTTTTATGTAAGAACTTGAACCTTTAGGTTTATAGCTACAAGCACATTGTATTTGTGTTTTATTTAGGGATCTGTAAAAACATAATAATATAAATCACATAGAATTTAAAAAAAAACTTGGTTTGCACTGAATACCAGAAACATTACTTACAAACCAGTCCGTCCACACATAGCGACACCTTTAAATTATATTTTGTTATATGAATATGGGTACTTTTAGGCTTAAAAATTAGGCCTAGTATGAAATGAATTTAGGCGCCAAAAATTTCATGTAAACCACAGATATGGATTAGAGTAGATACAGCAAGTTGCTAGTCAAAGCGTGCCATTCCGATATGTCCAAATGGACATACATGGTCGAGTGATGTTCATGTAATCCGATTACAACAATCGGATACGATGATTTTACGAGGACAGTAGTACGAACACGGTAGAGAGAAGAAATTATTTACGGATTGAGAATTGTAATTAACAGCAACGAGTAACAAATATGTAATTAATTAGAATAAAGTAGCAGAAGAAGAATTATAAAACAAGTTAGATCAGTGATCGCGGAAGACAGAGTGCACTGTATAACGTCGAAATATACAAATCAAGAAGTTAGGTCAGTGATCGCAGTATACACTATTATTACTACTATGTATACGACGCTCGAGATTTTGTCGTTTAGAAATATCTTCAAAACTAGGTACCTGACTTAGCTTTATGAAAAAAAAACGTATTGGCAAAACTACGCATTTTTACATTTATTAAAAATAAAAAACTTGAGTAAAATAGTCTTTATTTTATGAAAGTAGGTCTTACTAGGATATTTAAAAGTATGGAATTAAGTATGAATTACTAGTAGTATACTATTTAACATAATGGAATAACGATCATTACTTTCATAAACATTAGGCACAACAAAAATATTATTTGCAAATTAATAATGTAGAATTGTAGAATAACGTCTACCGCTACATAATTATTTTAATCCACAGTCAGACTAGCTATAAATTTAACAAAATATCAGTTTTATCGGAATTAATTAATTTTTGAATCGAGTCACACGATATCATTCGATGACTTTGCGAATGCAGTACGATGATACGATTACTTTTACGTTGCGGCAATCACTAAAATTCGCTAAAATGACACTAATGACGTTTAAAAAGTGGCACGCTCGGCTTCATACAAATTTTGACACATGCTGCATCTATCCTTATCTGTGATGTAAACAAAGAAAGAAAGGAGTCCGTTCCGCTCAGTTCCACTCGCTCATCTCATTCAACATTGTTTCTTTCTCTTTCTTTCTTATTTGCGTTTAGTTTTGTCTCGCTCATCGTCCAAAGATGGTATAATTTTTTATGTTTTAACAATCAACGAGAGATATTGGCTAAATTTCAATTTTATTCAGTTGTCAACTAATTTTTAAGCACCGGTAGTCGAGTGAACGAACGAACACGATCCAAGGAAAGAAACATGAAGCTACAGATAAAAATGGAGGCCACACTCCGAATACCTACTTGAAGCACAAACTAAGTATCACTATCTCGCTCTCTGTGGGCAGACTCGCTCTTTCTAAATAAACAAAAAATATAAAATTGCTCAAATTCAATGAAACCAATGTAAAATCTTTATTTCTTGACATAGGTATAATTAAAAATGATGTGTAATTACTGGTAAAACGTTTTAGGAAGAAATTACTGTAAAAAATGTGAAAAATGTTTACAATGATCCAATGTCGGAAATCACGAAATAAACACTTACGCGTGGAATCTTATGTCAATTCCAGGACACCACGTACTACCGCAACCACGCACTACAAAATGTTGCACCAATTCTTGTGATAAAACAATGATTATTTCCTGTAAACAATCTCAAACGAAATTAACTGCTTAATAAACAAAATAGTAAACAACCGCCATGATGGGCCGGATTGGGCCGATGCTGCCACATGGTACCGATTACCCAGGAATTGGGATTGTAATTCCCTGATTCACCAACACATTAAGCCTAAATGGCCGACAATTTTGTGATTTTTTATTTAACTAGGTAATCTTAGTTTCAAATATTAATTATTTATTTGTTTAACTTCTGATTTGGTTAGTGAATTGGCTATTTCGAAGAATTTACAAGGAGATTTAAATCAGAAGATAGCAATACTACAGTTCACATTAAAAAGAGAGGTAGGGCCGCAGAGAGCGAGATAGATATAAGTAGGTATTTGACTCAAGTTTTTGTTCCAACTCTGCCCTCCATTTTTATCTTTAGCTTCATGGAAAGAAAGCACAAAAGAAAGTGTCAATTTGCGATACATTCATTCATTCATTTTTGACAGATTAAAAAAAAGTGTGTGTGTGTGTGTGTATTAAAAATAGAAACACTACTTTATTTATTTGTAAAAAATCTGGAAAAATGGAACTGAGTTAGTTATCTAGATTAGGTGTGCACTAAATTAATAAATATGTGGAAATATGTGTCACGTCGTATCAGAGACACTTTTGAAAGAGGGGCTAACCACTTTGATAAACGTGGAGCAAGTGGTGTAGTGCATACTCCTGGTAATGTAGAAGAGAAAAACAAACGATCATGTCCTCCGTGTTGCTGGTTCACTTCACGGAAATGTTGGAATTCCTTTCAACAAGGAAACAATACCAACAATAACTACAAATGGAACTTCGAACACCTAACTTCCAGCTGGATTGGTGCTATTACCTGGGTTGGTAAATAATATTCTATAGTTTGTGTACTAAAAATGTGTCCTTGACAACAAATGTAATTTTTTTTTTGTCCTAATATTGTTATTTATATTGCTGGTTATATCCAGAACATGTTTTATTCTTTGTACATTCATCATTGTGTCATAAGCAGTGGATAATTTTGATTTTTATTTACAGAGCAGTGCATTGGTACTAGGATGGTATACTAGTCAGCTCATCCATCTAAAATACAAATACCATGCTAAGAAAGGAGACCAGGAGAAATGCCCTACTGCATTACTTTCTGCATTGTCTCCATATATTAAATCGGTGAATAAAAATATAACTTCTGGGGCAACAATTGAACAAATAATTAACCACTTTACCCCTACTGTGCATTTGGTGTCCAATGAACAGAATGGAGAGAAGAAAGAGAGTGTTCAGAGCCAAAGTAGCAGCTCAACTAGCCCTGATTCATCTGATGATGCATTAGGGAATGTTTTAAACTCCATCGAGAATAAGTTGGGCTTAAATGCTATAGAGAATGGTCAGCTTCAGGATGGACTTAACCTACTAAGGTAATCTTTTCATGTTCTATCTAGTACCAGCAGTTCAAAACGAACTTCTTTTGTCGGTAGTAACAGTGATGAAATAAATGTATCATTTCAGGTCTGCTGCAAACCGTAATCATGCCCCTGCCCTTTACAATCTTGGCCTTTGTTATGAAATTGGATTGGGTGTGAATGTTGATGAGAAAGTGGTAAGTTAAATATTTGAGGGTCACTTGATACAAAAATGACTAACCGGTTCTGTATGTTTAAACATGTTTTCTTTAAAACAGGCAATGGAGATGTATCGTTCTGCTGCTGCCTTAGAGCATCCTGGTGCACTGTATAACCTTGGTATTTATTACGGCCAAGGCAGAGGTGGTTTGGTTCGCGACACTGTTACGGCGACGCGCCTCTTACGACTGGCTGCAGTGCAGGGTCAGCAAGATGCCATAGATGCACTGAAGTCACTGGATTTGGATACTGAACCTCAACATAACAATACAGGCACTTGGTCTTATCAATTCAACAATCTGTTTGGAGAAAATAACAGCATTATGCCAACACCAACTACACTATTTGTGGAAAATGTAAGCTATTGTCGTCCAGAGAAATATGCGTACTAATTGATTATAATTAGAATGAATAAACTAGATATTAGTGATGATTACTTTTTTAATTTTTAAGTGTTAGCACTTAAGCACAATATTTTATTCAGTCTTTGTTTTGTGTACAGAAAAACTAATCAAAAAGTTAAAAAAATATACTTAGATGTTTCTCTGTTTGTGGTGGTTTGGTTTTTAAAGTGTGGCAGATGGCCATATACTTGTTTCAGAATAGTACTTATTTTAAAATGGAGCTGTGTACTTAACGCTTTTTGTTCTGTGTATGTCTGAAATGTAATGAGTAAGTAGTCTTTTTGACTTAAATTCGCCATCAACTAAAACAACTTAACATTTGAATAAGAAAAAAATGCAGTTGTATAGGAATTGAATAAAATCATACATGACATTTACCGAGAACAAATAATGCACACGAGCTTAGGTCCTAAAGTTTGCAGTACACTACATTAATCATTGGTAATTTAAATTGGCTATCAAAACAATTATCGCTATTTCAAAATAATGTAGGAGATAAGGTACCTTGTTTTAAAAATAGGTACTTGGGAATGAACTTACTAACCTATTTTATTCATTTGTTGGCCAAGCCAAGAACAATAATATGTTAGGAATAAAGTGAGTAGTAAGGCTTGTGAGTATTTTTAGTTATAGTACTTATTCAAAGTAAAAACATGTTTATTTCAATTGTTTTTTTATTTACCATACAGTTAATCTATAGATAATATTACCTAAATAATTATATTACATAATAATTCAACTTAATAGTATTTAGTGGCAATGCAAGATCATTGTTTTTTTTACTATTTATCTTTTAATGCATCACATAATTTTAGAAGTCAAATACATAAGTGCAAACAATTACACGGAATGATTGACAAAGGCATTGTTATCCCATGTGCACAATTACTTTTACTTGAATTTCAAAAACTCAATTGATTACACTGTGTCTGCACCTCGCCGAGTCCGTGAGAATACCTGTAAAGATGGACAAAATAATATTATTTTTGCGCTGCTTGGAATTAAATATTTAGAAAATACATTAATAATAGTGATTCTTTATATGGTTAGTGTCAACATGGAAAAAGCTCATCCGCCACCACGCGTTGTGTTAATATTATTATTTACTAGCGGCCTCCAGCGACTTCGTACGCGTAAATCCCGTTTTATCTCCTTAGGGGTTGAATTTTGCAAAATCTCGTCTTAGTGAGCACCTACATTCTAAACGGAACCCCAATGCAAAATTTGAGACTCCTAGCACTTGTAGTTTCTGAGATTTCCTGATGAGTGAGTCACTCAATCAGTGACCTTTCGCTTTTATAGATATAGATTTTGGGCTTATTCCACTATTCCCCGTTAAGGCGAATTGGAGCTTATAATGGGAATAATGAACTAAAAAGTTCATTAATCCCCATTACGTTAAAAATAAAATCCTAATATAACGGGGATTAATGAACTTTTTAGTTCATTATTCCCCATTATAAGCTCCAATTGGCGTTAACAAGGAATAGTGGAATAAGCCCAAAATTAAACCAAAAGATTAGTGAACAAAAAGTTCACTAATCCCCGTTGACGGGGATTGTCAACGGGGAATAGTGGAATAAGCCAGATTTTGGTGTAAGCCACTCGCCTAGTATTTGCGCTGGTAGTCGCGCGCGGGCGGCGCATAGCGGTCGGGGTAGGAGGCGCCGGGCGGCGGCGGCTGGTACTGCGGCGGGTAGCGCGCCTCGTACGCGCCGCCGTAGCGCGCCTCCGACGCCCAGCCCTCGCCGCCGGCGCCGCTGCTGCTACCTGCGGACCAAATGGGAAACTGCTACAGTGAGGACATGATAAAATTTTGTTGAGAGAAAGAATTGCGGCTTGATTTTTATACAGTCAGCGTCAGATAGTTTGTGATACCCAAAGTGGCCAAAAAGTTGATAACAACCTTTTTTGTCTTGCGAACTTATTGGATACTTTGGGTGTCACTAACTATTTGACGTTGACTGTACATACATCAATCATTATCATCATCAGGCCATTTATTATACACACATAATTATCACCATCAGGTAATTGTCTCCATTAGAGGAATACTACACCATGTACTATAGATTTGGCCTACACTACCTATACACTCTGGTCTTGGGTTGGGGTGGCCTGACGTTCGTTACTTCAGGACAGGACTTTCCTTCCGCTTACGACATCCACGAAAGAGTAGGGGTGTTCCTATTCAACTCTGCTAGGACCAGGATCAATTCATACTACTCGTAAGTCAGTAAATAGATCTAATGCAACTTTGACCAAAAATAAGGCAAATCCGACATGTAACTAGTAAGTTTCACAAGTCTCGAGTCTGTCAAAACTCAAGATTGTAGTCGCGAAGTAAGACAAATAATGTGCATACCCTTTGAGGCGGCTGCGGAGTCAGGATACCGGCTGGAGGAGTTCCACCGCGGGTCGGGCTTGCCTGGCGGCGACGGTCGGTACGAGCGGGTGTCGCGCGAGTCGTATGAACGCCTGTAAATATCGGGAGAACTGTCAGAACCTCTTCATGATTAAATAAAAAACATACATTTTATACAATACTCGCTTCTGCTGGGTGGATTTATGAGAAAGATTTATCGCGCGTAATGAGATTAAAACACGCTCGTAATATGTGCACTTTTGAATGATATCTAATCCCAATCGTAAATGTAAATAAAATGATATTATGATCCTGAACTTGGGAAGTCTGCACCCCCTTAATTTTTTTTGTGACAAATCAGCCATGTCCTCTTAAACAAATCTTATTTCCATCCAAATTCATCCGAATTAATTATTTATTTCTGTGTGAGAATCGAATACTTATTTTCAAATGTATAATATTGTAGTACAACATAAAATAGTAGTAAAAATGGGGGTACATACATATACGATCGCGCTATTAGTCTTTTCAGACATGAAAACAACCAAACAAAAATTCATCAATTTCAATTCAATGCAGATGAAAATGACAGCAAATAAAAATTTATGTAATAATTACCCAGGTTCCTTTGGTCTCGTTCCAGGAGGCATCGGTTGCCGTGAGTCATCATTTGAACTGCCATTACTAGGATACTTCATGTTTCCAGCTGTAAATGAAAAGAAACAATATTATAATTTCCTATTTTCTTTTACTAGTAAAAGGTACTTTAAATGTTTGAAAATTGAACCAGTTTGTACTTTGTACTGAAGTCGTTTCATATTACAGAAAAAAAGATATTTAAATTAGGAGTTTCGCTTTCAATAGTTTGAATTTTGTTCGAATGAAGTTTGAATTTAAGGACTCCAGCTCACTAAACATCTGCACTGTATCACATAATTTCCCTGAAACTCTAGTCACTCCTCCGGTCGAGTTTAGCCTACATTCGTTTGTTATTTTGGCATTACCCAGCAGTAGAGGGAACATAAGGTAGCGCTAGTTTGGTACCGCTGGTAGTCTCGCTTATAGTCGCAGTAGTTTAGATTAAGACCCAATATGATTGTAAACACTTAATATGCAATAAAAAAATTGAATTTNTAAGATAACATTAATCGAATACAACCATAAATAAAGCAAACAAACCTCAAAAACGAGAATAACCTAAAAATTTTGACGTAAATAGACACTATGCGTTGCGTAATACAGCTCCCTGTCTACCTTAGCTTTGCGTTCATTCTAAGGGACGCATAGTGCTTGTCACCACTGAAGTATTGTCTATGAATAGGTTTTTGGGACCCTGTGCGTCAACGCGCACTATGAGGCCTCAAAGTAATGTTTGTGAATACGGGTTAGTGTCGGCGACTTTAATTCGAAAGATTCTTATCATCAAGGACTTATACTTTCTATATTTTTTAGCATTGATGTGTAAACTGCATTATAACTCCTCCAAATAAATAAGTACGAGAATGGAAAGTAATTATTATTTACTGAAATATTTACAACACGATCCCTCACAAGACGATACCGCAACAACTTACAACAACTCGTTATTCCTAATCAAGTGATGACAGCGGTGAGGGCGCGTAAAAATTACCGCAACGCATTTTCTTTTCACATAAATACGCGCACGGCACAGAGAACTTAGTTGTTCAGACTCTACATTTCACGAAAAACCAAGACTAGTTAATTGGCCGACAATCTACAAGTAAATTTTTCGCGATGCATGTTGCGAGACTAGAATTTACACGCTTTAAGATGTCAGCTTATGTTATAAGATTGTTAAGATGTTAACAGTATTGCTGTGTTCCGGCAGTTAGAGGTGAAATAGCCAGTCCCTCTGTGGTTGAGGATTCTGGGTGAAGCTCGCTTCCACCTTCGGCCTGATCGTCACTTACCATCAGGTGAGATACAGGCCAATAGCTTCCTCGTTGATGATTTAAAAACCATATGTTTGGTACAATGGTTAATTTAAAATAGTAAATTTATTTACTCGTAGGTAAAAATAGTTTCACGATACATTTTATGTAATGTCTAAATGATGAGTCACTAAACTTTGCGGCTTAAATAAACAAAAATGTCGAGATAGTTCATTCAGTAAATAAATAGAGGTATCTGCCAGGTCAGTTGGTCTGCAGCACACGCGTATCGTCAGAAATGAACAACAATTTCTGTTTATGTAAGTAATTTATTTCCTTTATGGAACAGTATGAATATACGGGTGTGACAAATCTGAATGTGGTTTGTACAATGTGTACTTAAATGGAGAATATTTTAGTAAAATATACTTTTTGTTGCCAGTTTGTGTTATATTTATATTCTTCTTGAACATTACCATAGTGTCATTCTTTTCTCTATTGGTTTGGGAGTAGACAGAGTTGTCTCGTAGAATGTTAGTACAAAATCTCTCTAGAAAAATCGACCCTCAGGTCGTTAAATATTCCATCGTTTATTTATTACAATGACCTTGGTAAAAACGACGCGTACGATACCCTCAAAGTATGTGCAACGGGCATAATGTATTTTTATTTTATTTTGGTATCTTATTGAAGGACCTTTCAATAATCGAAACATTAGTGAAACAATAACTTCGTTCGCATGAAAACTCCCCGAGATATTAGAGCTAGCATAAGACTGCAATTATTTAACCTTTTAGCCGCCGGGACCACTGATATCAAAACGTGCCACTGGCGCCGCAACTCTTTTTCAACTCTTTGACGTTAGTGATGGGAAATCTGCTTTGCGATAGTTTTATTTCAAGATGCGTTTTGGTGTAAAAAAACGTGTAATATGTATGTATTTATTTGTATATTTGTAAAATAAATATAAAAAGAAGAATAGTTTCAATAAATAGAGAATTATTTCATAGCTTAATCAATAAAAAACAGGTTGAGAAAAAACGAAACTTTTTTTTTAATTCAGCAGAATATCGATATTTTCAATCCCTATTTAACCTTGACAAAGCAGTACGTCGCGTATAGACGACCCCGGCGCAGTAAGAGGCGTTATTTTTATTAGTTTTAGTGACGAGGTAACTCGATCAAATGGATGTCGATAAATTGATGAATTTTAACGAATAAATTCCAACCACTGCATAATTTATTTATTGATTTAATTAATATAATTAGCTTTAAAATAGTATTTTTTTCTTTATTATTTAACTAATGTTTTATGGCTATTTAAGAAGTTCATGGACACGAAACAATCAAATGCGGCTAAAAGTACTGGCTACACTGGTTCCACTACTGTACGATTTTATTCGCTACCTGCATTCTGTAAGCTCATACGTAGAACGTAACCGAGTAAGTAAGATTTTGATTTTATTTATTTATTATCAGCCCGTTTCAGTTTTGCATGGGTGGACATTTATTTGCAAACTATCAGAAAAAAAATTCAGTATTTCTGAAGTCTTTGATAATATTAGTTATTCTACAAAGTATCGGTTTGTTATTTTGCGTTATTTTGCACTAGCAATTAGTCATGAACTACCCACTTGTAAGTTAATATTCATCATACGATAAAATTATCAACGTACCCTCACTATTCCAAACTTCCGTGCGTCTATGACGTCATAAGCGGTCGTGTATTCCCGACTCCGGCGCTGGAGCATGTTAAGAAAACGTTGAATACTCCGCGCTGCTAGTGTTGTGAAAGTTTCCAAATCTTTGCGTTTTTCTATCATCGTTTACTTAAAATTTATATCGTATTACAATTTAAATAATTCGTCTGTTTAATTCATAACGTTGTACTTATCTTTCTGTATTTAAATCTACATAAACTAAAACGAATTTATACATTTTCATCATAATTAATTTCCATTTCATTAAAATGATGAGAAGATTTTACTACAACACTATGGTCTTTTATTAACGACTGCGGCGCTGAGGTCCTAAAATAATATTGCGTTATGCGATGTGAAATTATGGTGTTAGTTATTTTTAAATATGTCACGTTTAATAGGTGCAATGAAGTCCGAATTCATGAACTAAAACAATGTGTTCAAAGTATTGGATTTTTTATTATTATCTTTCTCATGGATCGTCTCATTCCCTTAGAATAGAGCGGAAAAAATTCAGTCTGCTATGCCCGACTCCGGCGCTAGTGCCCCTAAATTCTGTTGTCGGTCATACGCGACTGCGGCGGTTAATGGGTTAATAAGTCTGGCACTAGTCAGCAGTAGAGGAAAAAAAGGCAATAAGTTGTAGACTCACAGGACACATGCCGCTGATAGTCTCGCTTGTAGTCGCGCTCGCGGTCGCGCTTTTCGCCGCGTTCGTAGCCCGCACCCAACTCGAAGCGCGGCGGCGGCGGCGCCTCGAACTGGCCCCGGCTTGACGACTGAAACAACATCCAATTGTTAGTGCCTTTTCACACGTTCCGGTTGCCGGCTATCCGGCGCCGGGTACCCGGTGGTGAAGTGTATGGGCATGGTACGTAGCTTTCACATAATCCGGCATGCCCATACATTCACGACCGGGTACCCGGCGCCAGATAGCCGGCAACCGGAACGTGTGAAAAGGCACTTACAGGACTATTCCCACCTCTCGTTCCCACCGCTGCAACTCCTGTGTAGAAAGGATCTACAGCTTGACCGCTATAAAAACCCAACCAATGAAGGTCAAGTTTGTTCCGGGGGAAAGAACTGTCATTGGACCCGCAACGACATTAATCAGAAGAAGTGTTACAAACATTCGTGAATGAAATGATAACTAATGAAACAGAAAACATTATTTCGTTATCGTCACATATTAATGACGCAATTACACTATGCGCGAACACCGCGCACGGAAGCATGGGCAAAGCACTGCAAAAGTAACTGAACTGCGTGTTACACTATCTGGTTTCGCGCATAGTATAACTACGCCATAAAATTGGTGATGATACGTATGCGCCTCTATTGAGAAGTGGACTCTTCCTTGTAAGCTATGGTTACCTGTGCCACTTAAGCCAGTCAGTGTCAGTCAGTGCCACATTTGACTGAGACGGGCCAGTGCATGCCCAGACCCCCGCGTGTCGCAGGTTATGTACAACGTCAGCACATCATTCTACATTTCGTCCATTTACGATGACAGTGTGACATCTCCAATGAGGGCTATCGTTTTTTTACCTAACAGTTGGCACTAGGGCATGCAAACCGGTTAACCGGATAACCGAAAAACCGGATAACCAACACAATTTGGAACTCGGTTTTTGTCAGAGTTAATTGGCCGACAATCTACAAGTAAATTTTTCGCGATGCATGTTGCGAGACTAGAATTTACACGCTTTAAGATGTCAGCTTATGTTATAAGATTGTTAAGATGTTAACAGTATTGCTGTGTTCCGGCAGTTAGAGGTGAAATAGCCAGTCCCTCTGTGGTTGAGGATTCTGGGTGAAGCTCGCTTCCACCTTCGGCCTGATCGTCACTTACCATCAGGTGAGATACAGGCCAATAGCTTCCTCGTTGATGATTTAAAAACCATATGTTTGGTACAATGGTTAATTTAAAATAGTAAATTTATTTACTCGTAGGTAAAAATAGTTTCACGATACATTTTATGTAATGTCTAAATGATGAGTCACTAAACTTTGCGGCTTAAATAAACAAAAATGTCGAGATAGTTCATTCAGTAAATAAATAGAGGTATCTGCCAGGTCAGTTGGTCTGCAGCACACGCGTATCGTCAGAAATGAACAACAATTTCTGTTTATGTAAGTAATTTATTTCCTTTATGGAACAGTATGAATATACGGGTGTGACAAATCTGAATGTGGTTTGTACAATGTGTACTTAAATGGAGAATATTTTAGTAAAATATACTTTTTGTTGCCAGTTTGTGTTATATTTATATTCTTCTTGAACATTACCATAGTGTCATTCTTTTCTCTATTGGTTTGGGAGTAGACAGAGTTGTCTCGTAGAATGTTAGTACAAAATCTCTCTAGAAAAATCGACCCTCAGGTCGTTAAATATTCCATCGTTTATTTATTACAATGACCTTGGTAAAAACGACGCGTACGATACCCTCAAAGTATGTGCAACGGGCATAATGTATTTTTATTTTATTTTGGTATCTTATTGAAGGACCTTTCAATAATCGAAACATTAGTGAAACAATAACTTCGTTCGCATGAAAACTCCCCGAGATATTAGAGCTAGCATAAGACTGCAATTATTTAACCTTTTAGCCGCCGGGACCACTGATATCAAAACGTGCCACTGGCGCCGCAACTCTTTTTCAACTCTTTGACGTTAGTGATGGGAAATCTGCTTTGCGATAGTTTTATTTCAAGATGCGTTTTGGTGTAAAAAAACGTGTAATATGTATGTATTTATTTGTATATTTGTAAAATAAATATAAAAAGAAGAATAGTTTCAATAAATAGAGAATTATTTCATAGCTTAATCAATAAAAAACAGGTTGAGAAAAAACGAAACTTTTTTTTTAATTCAGCAGAATATCGATATTTTCAATCCCTATTTAACCTTGACAAAGCAGTACGTCGCGTATAGACGACCCCGGCGCAGTAAGAGGCGTTATTTTTATTAGTTTTAGTGACGAGGTAACTCGATCAAATGGATGTCGATAAATTGATGAATTTTAACGAATAAATTCCAACCACTGCATAATTTATTTATTGATTTAATTAATATAATTAGCTTTAAAATAGTATTTTTTTCTTTATTATTTAACTAATGTTTTATGGCTATTTAAGAAGTTCATGGACACGAAACAATCAAATGCGGCTAAAAGTACTGGCTACACTGGTTCCACTACTGTACGATTTTATTCGCTACCTGCATTCTGTAAGCTCATACGTAGAACGTAACCGAGTAAGTAAGATTTTGATTTTATTTATTTATTATCAGCCCGTTTCAGTTTTGCATGGGTGGACATTTATTTGCAAACTATCAGAAAAAAAATTCAGTATTTCTGAAGTCTTTGATAATATTAGTTATTCTACAAAGTATCGGTTTGTTATTTTGCGTTATTTTGCACTAGCAATTAGTCATGAACTACCCACTTGTAAGTTAATATTCATCATACGATAAAATTATCAACGTACCCTCACTATTCCAAACTTCCGTGCGTCTATGACGTCATAAGCGGTCGTGTATTCCCGACTCCGGCGCTGGAGCATGTTAAGAAAACGTTGAATACTCCGCGCTGCTAGTGTTGTGAAAGTTTCCAAATCTTTGCGTTTTTCTATCATCGTTTACTTAAAATTTATATCGTATTACAATTTAAATAATTCGTCTGTTTAATTCATAACGTTGTACTTATCTTTCTGTATTTAAATCTACATAAACTAAAACAAATTTATACATTTTCATCATAATTAATTTCCATTTCATTAAAATGATGAGAAGATTTTACTACAACACTATGGTCTTTTATTAACGACTGCGGCGCTGAGGTCCTAAAATAATATTGCGTTATGCGATGTGAAATTATGGTGTTAGTTATTTTTAAATATGTCACGTTTAATAGGTGCAATGAAGTCCGAATTCATGAATTAAAACAATGTGTTCAAAGTATTGGATTTTTTATTATTATCTTTCTCATGGATCGTCTCATTCCCTTAAAATAGAGCGGCAAAAATTCAGTCTGCTATGCCCGACTCCGGCGCTAGTGCCCCCAAATTCTGTTGTCGGTCATACGCGACTGCGGCGGTTAATGGGTTAAACGAAGCCCCTATTGTATGGCTATTAAAATATATAATAAGTTACCTGAATTTTTTAAACTGTTGCCGCTAGAGTTGTTTAAAAAAAGTTGCATATCTGGCTTTTCAATAAATGCTATTACTCAATACAAGAATACTTTGACGACAATTTATTATGATTAACAGACTATTTAATTTTCTCGACTAGAATTATTTATTGTAAAGCATGTTAATATAATCCATTGTAATAATAATCCTGACATTCAAACGCTGTAATTTATTATTGTTCTTTTGTACTTACATTTTTTTTTTTTTTCAATATTTGCACGACTAATTAAGTCAACATGTGGACATGCCAATTGTAATAATAATATCTTGTAAAACCAAATAAATATTTCTGATTCTGATTATGATTCTGAGCCTAAAATATTGGTTAACGTCACAAGTAAACATCAATAAAGTCAAAATTTCTTTATTTGTTTAGACTAATAAATAGTTCTTACAAATCGTCATAAAATATGCTCTTAAGGAGCCTCTACATGTCTCATAATCTTTTTACCCTACCAGCGCTTCGAGACCAACATTTGGCAAGTGCTGAGAATAATAAGCCAAGCTATTCAATTATTAATCAAGCTAAATCGCTCACATTGAACATTATCCGCTAAACTAACCTAATCTGAACAGCTACAACTCTGAAACCTAAAACTACGAGTGCTCACTAGGAGCACAAAACGTGAATGAAATAAACAAACATTGGTTCAAATGCTCGTGACTACCGGACTTATTTGTCGACTATCCGGCCCAAGGGTCATATTGCAATGTGTACCTTAATCCTATACAAATAACGGTCATACTTTCTACTTTTGTAGTTGACTATGAGATAAACGAATTACGCAACTTTTTGACCCAATATTATCCTTTGCAAACCTTGCTGTGATGTTAAAGTTTCCAAATGTAGACATTCCAAGGGTTGTTTATGCATTTCATTTGATAGCAAAAGTGTCACAAGACCACAGCCAATTTAAGTAACTTTGCCCATCAGTGGCTTCAATTAAAATTGCGAATTTAAGTAGTTTTTTTTTTTCACTTTGATTTAAATTATTTACTTAAAATAAGTTTTTATGTATCTTTAACACGTTGTTTATAAAGCTCGTTTGAAATATAAAAAATCAAAACGAAAAAGTACTAAACTCGCCATTAAACGGGTATTTTGAGCCAATGTTATACTGATGGGCAAAGTTACTTCATTCTTATTTGTGAAAATGCTTATTAATTAAGGCGTTTAGTCTATCTAGCCGGTTCCTAGAAACACTAAGGCTGAGTTGCACCATCTTACTTTAACTTTGACTAACGTCAAAAATCTGCCAAACTCCATACAAAAAGCACCGGTTCTTGTTATTGTTACAGTTAAAATAAGGTGATGCAACTCAGCCTAACTGTAATGGCTTTTAGATCTTGCTAGTGCTAATAATATTTATCCTTCATCTCAGGATTTGATGCGATTTACCTTCGGATCTAATTTGAGGCGTATATCGATAGGCGAGACTGAGGAGTGCGGTAATGCAGGCAGTGTTGTCCCAAGTCCTAAGTAAACTATCGAATCTAATTGAATGTCTTGTTTATCGATATAATTGATTGTGTGGCAGGTGGCACTACAATTGTTAGATAATTAAAATGCGATTTTGTCTTTTATTTCGTTGTAGAGGAAGTTGTATACGTAGAGCATAAGTTATGATACACCGTGCTAGTGCCAGACAGCTGTTGTAACAGTGTCGAATCTTACTAGAGGGATTAGTCAATGTCATAACCGTTAAGACTTTTGCCGGAGTTACATGTATGCATACGTCATGCGTATACCTAATAAAATATGTCAATCTTGGCAGCAAGATAGTTGAACACAGGTTCAGTTCCATAGTCACCACAAAATACTATGCTACTTTAATTTGGGTATTGGCAGTTGAAAATTGAAGCAAATCATTCATCGATCAGAAAACTATCGATGGCATAACAACACTAAACGCAGTCTTCAATATTCATTAGTCAGAGCCCCCGTTAGCTAGCAAGGTATTCACACTCCAATGTTGTGTCTAGACGAGGTTATAAGCAGCTGCAATCAAATTACTGAGGTAGTTTCAACTACACACTCTCAAAAGCTAGGTTTAAATAAAGTTATTGTTATTTGAGAACTGGTTAATCTTTATAGATATTTTCTCTTTTAATCATATCAAATGATACATCTCAAACCTAAAGTATATCTATTAGACTTAAAGAATATTTATTCTCATTAAAACCATAGTCACTTGCATGAGAAAACAATAAGCGTGAGTAGTACAGAACTGTCCAATAAGTATTTAGAAGGTANACCTACAAGGTGGACCGACGACATCGTAAAGGTAGCAGGGAAGCGCTGGACGCAGACCGCTGCCAATCGATCAACATGGAAAGCATTGGGGGAGGCCTATGTTCAGCAGTGGACGTCCTATGGCTGAAATGATGATGAATGATGATGAATGCAATGTGAATGAGTAGAGTATAGTCTATGGCTATGGTATTGAACTAAAGTACCATGTATCTTCTAGCTAAAGCTATAAGCGCGCGGGCGCAAAATGGAACGCGCTTTGTATTTGACCATTGCCGCCATTATTTTTGCTTTGCTAGTCTCTGTCAGTGTCAACTTACATATTATTTAAATAAGCATAACTATGACCAAATTTTCTTCTTCTTTTTTGATGATGTTGGCAATACACGTCGAGGTCGACTTGATTTGTGCCATTTTCCAGTATATAAGTGATACGAGTTACAAAATGAGATCAAGTAATGATATAATGAAGGATGATAGATGATACCCTTTCCCACCCTTTGAGTCTCAGTAAAGTTGTGGTGCTTTACTGAGACCTCCTATGGACAACTTGAGAGAACCAGAAGAATCACGATGCACTGTTTTGCTTCACTTGCCCACACCCATGGACGTTCACGAACACTCAATGGTTAATAATCCACCATTATTACACATTAATAGTCGCCCACACACGAATTTGAGGAAATAAAACAAAACCGCTAACATGACGCTTCAGATTCCCGCCAAGAAGTCCTGACCAAAGGTTTTGCTTTGCTAATGAGCGAAGTATCCTATTGTTGATCTCTTTATATTTGATTTTTAATTAAACTATTCAATTGATCTCACAATATTATGTTCAGAACATGTAACTTCATCTTGTCAAACTAGAATATAAAAGAAATAAAATGATTTTTATTATAATTTGCAGCATTTTTATTTACTTACAAACAGTCGACCCGAAAAACCCGAAAAAACCGGTTTAGTTCGGTTTTTAAAAATAAAAACCGAAAAAACCGGTTTTTCCAAACCGCTCGGTTTTTGCATGCCCTAGTTGGCACCCCTGGCGATTGACAGGACCTTATTCTACAGTGGCGCCATCTTGATGAGTGCAAATGCGATAGTCCTCCTACCACTTTCGCGCTCACCAACTGGCGCCACCGTCTTCGCTACTAGCAAGTGACAGGACCTTACTCTACAGTGGCGAGCGCTAAAACGATAGCCCTCATTAGATTAACGTAGGAGAGGTCACACTGTCGTCGCAAGAGGACGATTTGTTGCAAAATAGCACTTAATACAAGCACACAAGGCTCACTGACCATGGGCGGCGGCTGCACGCGCTTGTGGCGTTGGTCGCGCTCGTAGGCGGGCTCGGGCGGGCTGGCCGCCTTGCGGTACGCCGCGCTGCTCTCGTAGCCGCGCTTGCGACGCTCCTCCTCCAATCTAATGATAGACATAAATCCCAACTAATATTATAAATGCGAAAGTAACTCTGTCTGTCTGTCTGTTACGCTTTCCCGCTTAAACCTCGCAACCGATTTTGATGAAATTTGGCATAGAGATAGTTTGAGTCCCGGGAAAGAACATAGGATAGTTTTTATCCCGGTTTTTGAAACAGGGACGCGCGCGATAAAGTTTTTCTGTGACAGACAAAATTCCACACGGGCGAAGCCGCGGGCGGAAAGCTAGTAAATAATAAAATAAAAAGCTTTTATTTCCACAAGTTTACAATTTTATAAATTAAGTTAGAAGCATTTGTCTTCACTCTTGTGGCACCCCTGTATGGGCAAAAGCCTCCTCCATTCCGCTCCATTTCTTCCTGTCGTGGGCTAGGTCGAGCCAATTTTCTCCCGCTACTCTCATTATATCATCAGCCCACCTTTCTTTGGGTCTCCCAACATTCCTCTTCCCCTTCGGTCCCTTCCATTCTGTTGATGTTATAGTCTATCTTCTATCTTTGTACCTTGCTAGGTGTCCAGCCCACTGCCATTTTAGTTTTAAAGCTTTTTGGAGGGCATCTGTTAGTTTTGTTTGTTGTCTAATTTTGTTGTTTCTGATTTTTTGAATTTTTCTTAAATTAGGGTAATGATAGACATAACATTAATTAAAGTACGGCTAACGAGAAGCGATACCAAATGTAAACAAACCCAATGTCATGGGTGAACCCATCTTACTTTGACATATTTTGGAGGGGGAACGAGACATTACGACAAATACACAAGATGGGAAGATACAGAATATATTGTCAACTCGACAGTCGTATCGACCTTTTGTATAGCTGCTAAAGCCTGGTCCGTGAGCACGTAGAATCCCGTCCAATGACCCCAAGCTACCCATCCTTATCGCTCGCGCGTAATTATATTGCTGTCGCGACTGTGCGACGCGCGCCCGCAGTGAGTGTGCGAGCGCGACAGCAACATAATTAAGTGCGAGCGACAAGGATGGGCAGCTTGGGGTCATTGGACGGGATTCTACGTGCTCACGGACCAGGCTTTAGTTGGCCGTACTTTGCGTAAGCACGGATACAAAATAAAGACCGCAAGTTGTTTACCACTGTGAAAATAGCTGTGGCAAGCCAACTTTTGCAAGATTTACGCAGTGGTGACAGCTTGCGGAAGTCAACTTCTGCAAGTTTCATTGCTAGTCTAATGCCCGTTTTCAACATCATTCCCTATGACCCCCATGGTAACACTTACTAGGATTATTTTGTTTTCAAATGGTTACTTAAAAATTACAGAATGATGGGGAAAACGGGCATAAACCTCGCTTAAAAGGTAAAAAGGACTAACCTCAACTGTGCCCTCTTGAGTTCCAGTCTCTCCAGCTCCAGCTTTTCCCTTTCAAGTCTATGTCTCTCACGTTCTAGACGCAGAAGTTCATTCTTTTCTCTCTCAATTTTTTCCCTGAAACAAAATTATATGTTAGCTTATGTGAACCTAACCTAAGTACACAATGTGAAGTGTGACGAATAAGCATTTGTCACACGTTTCTTTTGAACTAGCAGAATTTAAACAGTGTGTCCGCCTGTAGAAGTGTTGGTTTTTGGTGGACTAGTTGTAATGTCTCACCCGAATGTCTCGTGACAGGTTCATGTACGAACACGGGACCCGAAAGCGAGACACCTGTCGAGGTGCCTCGCTCACGGGTCCCGAGGTAGCGAGAACTTTCCGTACACTCTCGGACTCAGCCTGTCTCGTGGTTTTTCAGCGAGAGTGTACTGCCGGCATTTAGATATGGACATATTTCTGCTGTCTGTCGTCGTTGTGTGGCGTTACCTCTCCCGCCCGCGACCGCTCGCGCGACTATAGTCTGGTCTGCGAGCACGTAGAATTTTGTCCAATGACCCCAAGCTACCCATCCTTATCGCTCGCGTAATTATGTTGCTATCGCTCTCGCACACTCACTGCGGGCGCCCGTCGCACAGTCGCGACAGCAATATAATTACTCGCGAGCGATAAGGATGGGGCTAGGGGTCATTGGACAAAATTCTACGTGCTCACAGACCGGGCTTTAGTAACAATATGTCCGTCTCTCGCCCCGTCTGTCGCGTTACTTACCTCTCGGCGCGCAGCTTCTCCCGCTCGAGCGCGAGGCGGTGCTTCTCGACGCGCTGGCGGCGCTCGCGCTCGCGCAGCGCGTCCTCGGCCGCGCGGCGCCGGCGCTCCTCGCGCGACTAGTAACAATATGGCCACCTCTCGCCCCGTCTGTGTTGTTACCTCTCGGCGCGCAGCTTCTCCCGCTCGAGCGCGAGGCGGTGCTTCTCGACGCGCTGGCGGCGCTCGCGCTCGCGCAGCGCGTCCTCGGCCGCGCGGCGCCGGCGCTCCTCCTCGCGCGCCGCCCGCGACCGCTCGCGAGCGCGCGCCACGTCACGCTCTTTCTACAGGAGGGAAGGAACAACTTATTTAGGAGACGCCTATGCCCGTTTTCACCATCAATCCCTAATTTTTAAGTAACCCCTATTGTAACGCATACCAGGATTTTTTTTTACAAAGGGTAACTTAAAAATTAGGTTGCTTGATTCTGACTAGAATCAAACAGCGATCGGTTTAATTTAAGAGTATTTTATTAAGAGGCAGACTTGCCTCTTACTAAAATACGAGCTTATGGGTGGTATAACACACGGGTGTAGGGTAGTAGGCATGCGCTGGTCATACTATTTTTATAGATACAATCGGCGAAGAGCATCCGTACAAGTTTTAGCGGAGGCCTATTAATGCGTGATACACCGCAAAGAAAGGCCTTTGTCCAGCAGTGGACGTCTTTCGGCTGAAACGAACGAACGAACGAACACCGCAAAACCCACCCACTAATGAATTAATGGAAGAATGCGAATACATGTGGCCAAGCTTAATTTGGCGTTCAAAGCGGAGCGTTAAACTTACACAGTCAAGAAGAACTGACTATGCAAATACATATTTAAAAAAAACACATAAAAAAATAACACGCACGCTTTGAACACCTCATCAAAGAATGAACGAGTCCTAAAAACATGAACGACAAGCAATAGAACAACGGCAAACACAGCTAAGTAGGTTAGTATGCAATAGCACCGCTAGGTGAAAATTACATTTTTATCAAGAGAAGAATGGTTAGTATTTAACAGAATAGACTAGAGATGAAAAATCTTACCCATATTTTCGAAAACGACAGCACTTCTCTTGGGGACCGTTTACGCTCGCGGCTTCTTGTGCTGCGTTTTGCCCTGTCCTATGGTTCGATAACAATAGCCATTACAGTAATATTCTTGAATAAAATAGTCTGAATATATTGAAAGTTGTAAACTATTTTAATAAATTGCATTTTTAAAAAGGTCTCTCAATTTTATTATTTACCTTCTTTCTACAGGCTGATATTACTCAAATGTATCTCTTATGAGATTGAAATCGACATCAAAGAAAATATACACTTTCCCACACTGAGTACCTGATCAGCTGTTAGAAAGAGATGATTATTTTCCTTGATATTTATGTCAACAACGTATCAGCCAGGCAAGGATGCGCGCCGTGATAAAATTTTATCGATGAATTTAAATGACAAACTCATAAAATTGATGAAATTTCGCAGTAAGCTTATTATGGCGCGGCGCGCACCCGAGGTCTACAGGAGACGTTTTTGGGCAGTAAAATAAATCAGAAAAAGAAATAAATGAGAGTAATGAGACCAAATCTTACTTTGTCCGAGCGATGTGACTTTTCCCGCGTCCTCGAGGTGGCCCGCGTGCCTTCCTCTCCGGATTCCTCGCCTTCTTTCTTTGGCTTGGACTCGGCGTTTTCTTCACCTTCTTTACCCTCCTGTATAAATGTTTCAGTATTTTAAAAAGACGTTTTAATGCATTAATTACAATATGAGTGCGATAAATAAGGTCGTTATCTGTTGTTCGCGACAGAAACAACCTTTTATGCTGTTTTTTATTGTATTTTCATTACTTCTGTTTTTATGTTTTTTGACGTTACATTGAAAACACTTTAGTAACTACAATGGTGTACTACTGCATAAAAATTAAAACCCTCAATAGTGCTAGGAGTGTTTTCATATCAGTTAAAATAAAAAAACAAAATGAAACAAACCTCATTCTCCTTGCCCTCCTCTTTGCGTTCGTTGCTGGGACGTTCCGTGCGCGAGGGTTGGCGCCGGGACGACGATTCCGACTCAGACTTGGCTTTTTCCACAGATATCATTCGACCATGAAGTTCTGTTAGCAAAAAGTTTTAAATTATTTACAAACATTCTGGAAAACGATGATTTCATTTAAATGAAAAGACATCAATCTTTGAAGTAGTTTTTAATAAAGTCAGCAAGATAATTAGCTTACCAGTCCTATGCAAGTTTTTGATACAGTTTTCTGCATCTTGCGGACTAGCCATGGTAACATAGCCATAGCAACGAGATCCTGGTGTCCGTGCATTAGTTACAACTTTAGCACCAATCACCTGCAAAATTAAAATTATTCAGATTATACAAAAATATTTTATTAAAGGTTTAGGTAAATAAATGCATTTTTTTATTAAATTTACCTTTCCATGCTTGCTACACAGCTGCTTCAAGTCCTTAGCGCGAGTGTCGCCCGACAGCCCGCTGACCCATAGGTTGCGAGCGCCACCTTCCTTACTGTCATCTTTCTTTTCCTTTTTATCACTTTCGCCATCCTTATCCTTTTCGTCTTAAAAAAAAAAGAAGTTATTTAACCAAATGTTCTCATTCATGTTCTTCAGGGATGTATTTTCTTTAAAAAAAAACTAAATTGTACCTTTTTCATCCTTTTCCGTTTTTTCACCATCATTGCTGAAAGCAGAAATTTTTTATTATAGTAATGGCACAAACTGGTCTGACGATACATCGGCATAGAATTTTTGAAATCGTCCATTAATTCGTGACTTTACGATTTGACTATCAGAAACGCACACGACACTACAAAGTTTTGCACCAGTACTCCGGCAGCAGCAGGGAAGCAGACGAGTCGATCGTTGAGCACGACGAGTTCGGGTGGCCGCAAGCGTGGAGCCGCCGACCGCAGGCCTTCTCACGGGGAGCGACCACGAAGCACCTGAAGTCCGTCATATTTCGGGCGCGGAGACAATCAGCCAAGGATGCGTTGGAGATCCTCTTCTCTGGGAAATCGGGAACGTCCAAACGGTAGGCGTAGAATTCTTCCATCCAAATAACTAGGTGCAAAACTTTGTAGTGAAAACGAAATTGAATAGTCGATATTTCGGAGCGGAATATAATGCGCGCAGCGGCGTCGCGACGGCCGTTCGTCGTTCACCAACCTAATGGCAGGGGCTTCGCTGTTTACTTGTTGATCGTCGGCAGGGGTGGAGTCCGAAGGTGCCGCGGAGTCGGCCGGCGCCGATGCGTCGCCCGAGGCCTCGGCTGGTTCTTCGAGAGCGGCATCATCTACGTCAGTAGCGGTTATCAGCTGAGTCAGCGCAGGTCGCCCGTCGAGTCGACGGCGGCCTGCCCTGTCTCCCTTCATCTTCTTTTGGGAACGGCAGAATGGTCTTCTTAGAGAATTTCCCAGTTGCATGTTGAAAAAATACTAACTCTTGACCTGAAAACTTGATTGGATATTAGCACCACTGTCTGGATATGGAGCAGAAGTGGCGTTGGGCCACCATGTCCATGTTACTTATGGACTACACATTACCACATTTGTAGAACACCTGAAGGTCGCAACGCAACCAAAAATGTCCCGCAACTTTTATATATCAACCACATAACTTTGGCTTTCAGCTCGTGTATGTAGATAGTTTCTGCCTTGTTGCATTTTCTCAAATTTCTGCTCAACATTGGGTTCTGCGTTGCAGCTGACACAATTTTTATCAATGGCAGTGGTGCCTTAAAGTGCCATCGTAATTTATCTCTTCTGATTAATATTTCCAGTCTTGTTGCAGGATCACTTCACATTTAATTTCATATTTAAACATTTTAAAAATTTACATAACAAACAATGTTCTTAGGTTCAGTAACATTTAGGCACATTGTAATCTATGTATATCAATTATCCAGGATCAAAGGTTTTATTGCACAATAGCTGTTACTGCAGAGCTTAATTTTGTATTAAATTACAAATAAAAAAGGAACTTACCATTATTGTCCGCTTTTTCAGCATTATCAGTCTGAAAGAAGTAAAACAAATCTTTAAGCAACATGGAAGTAACTACTGCATTCTGGCAAAGTGCCAGAATATCACATACTGGCAAATATTAATAGATCTATATTTATCAAAATCATAACACTGTAATTTTTGCATAAATGCATTTGGCTAATATTATTGCATAAATGCATTTTGTCTAACTAATAAAATATAGATTTACTTCTAAAAAAAGATGATTATATCTTTCAAATCAACATGTATTTATATCAAAGCTACAAAAATATGTGAACATAATCATTTACTCTACAATGATCTTCTAATCTATATCCATGAAATATCCATTTGTAATTTTGGTGACAACTGGAGGCAGTTTAACAGTGACTCTGAAGAAATAGAAACGTACCTCTTCATTGAGCAATTCATCTTCTCCAAGATCTAAATTAATGCTGTCCTCAGCATCTGTATTATTTTCAATTTTAGGATCATCCTCACTCTTGATTTCTGGTTCAATGCATGGTTTTTTAGCTTGACTAGCTTCAGGCTCTTCTTTGCTTTCACGTTTCCTGCTTGTTTTCTCATCTACTTCCATTTTCTCGTCCGCGGCTTCTTCTGTGGCTTCCGTGTGGTCGTTAGCTTTGGTCTCCTCTTCAGTTTGCTCAGTTTCTTCCTCATCACCTGCGTCGTCTTGGACGATCATGTCTTCCATTGTAGGAGTCGTCTCTTCAGCCTCCTGTTCTGCGGCACCTTCTGAACGACGTGTTTTTTTTACAGGCGTTTTACCTTCAGGAGTAGTCAACTCAAACTTGAACGTTGCTGGATCGTGGCCCTCCTCCTCTAAATGCTAAAAACACGCGAAAGATGTATTAAATAAATAAATAATTGAAATCCATGTGATGACTAAACGATTGTGTAATAAAATAGCAGCTAATCACCTTTGTTAGGCGTTGGATGAGCACGCCGCGTACACCGCTTTTATCTAGGTTACGCTTTTCTAACTCAGCGCGCAAGTCTATAACCCTAAGGTCGTTGAGTAAACGTTTTCTATCAGACATCGCTTGAAGTTATTTTAGGACGTTTCTAATAATATCCACAAAAATATAAATTCTTCCAGACGCACAAAATTCCCACGACACGAGAGTTTTCACAAATGTCAAAATGGCGACCACCACACCGTAATGGCGTCGGCATAAACTGTCAAAGTATCCAAAGATAATATAAAATGATGAACTCGAATAGTGTATAACTAAAAGTGTCCACTATTTGTTGAAACAATTAGTTGATATAGTCAGCCAATAAGCCTGCTGGACACAGGTCATGTGACGTTTGTTGAATCGGTAAAATAGATTCTAATATTTTGACAGATCTAGTTACGTATTTTTATTTACAAAAACGATACAATTCACCTTTTCTAAAAACTATTTCACTTTAAAATACGTAAAAATATAAAATAACATAATAAACAAGTACATAGAAAGTTCATTTAATAGAAAAAATGCAGGATAATAAAGGTATGTGAAGTCAAACTATTGTCTTACTTTCGCGTTTTTGTGCAATAAATAACTGCATTTCTAATGTATATTATTTTGTTTCTAGATAAACCAGTTCTAAATGATATATTGGATAAACTTGCTATAAAACACTTGCATTTAATCGAAGAGAAAATGCGCTGCGAGATGAACATTGAGTCTTCTATAAATAATGGCAGCATTCACTTAGCAAAATCAAGATATATCATGGGTCAGAGTTCAGTGAGTACAGCTAGGTTGCCAGTTGAGAACAGCCCAGAATTTTCAGCATCGGCTGTATGTGAGACTACACCTGATGATGATGGTATCATGCAGTTTAAGGTAGCAGAAAGCAAAGCTGAAAACACTGTTAATCCTATGCGCTGGTTCGGAGTTTTGGTTCCTCAGAATTTGCATAAAGCCCAAGGCATTTTCCAAAATGCAATCAATTATGTAGTAGAATGTGTAAATGTACAGTTACAACTTTTAGATAATATGAAGAAGATGGACATGTTAAAAAAGTATGTAAGTTAGATAATTAATATTATTATTATTTGCTTAGATACTTTACAAAGTTTAGAAGTTCTGTAAATTATGCATTTTAATTGTAAATTTTTGGTTTGTATTGTATGTGTATTGAATAAAAGACCATGTTAAATTCAATTATTTAATATAACAGTGAAGTGATCACTAGGTATCAAATAAATAACTATTATAGTAACTTAACAATGTTTCATTGTACTGCAAAAGCATGATCATAATTTGCCTTCTTTGATACCTATCAGTTTCATAAGCCTGTCCTTTAGATGTCTTGATGATTTACTAATACATTCTTAAGGCATTTCCTACTTTATTAATAACTATATCTGTCTTGGACACTTACATAACAGAATTATACATTATGTATACTATATTGAATATATTATTGTTATTTGCCAAGTTATCTTTTGTTAAAAAACTGACAATCATATTTACAATAGTAATTTGACTAATCTAACAAGATTGGTGTTTCAATACTGCATGTATTAATCAATAGTATTAGGTATTTAAATACATTCACAGAATTTCAGAATTAACTTGATTAGCTTGAATAACAATGGGTAATTATCTAGTAGTCATAACACACATACATTGCATTATTTTGAGTAAGTAGGCATACCAAATTTATATTATTTAGAAACTTTTGTTGTAAGGTTCCTTAAAAATCCTTGGTTTTTTAACAGAAAGCACTTGTTCTTTAGTGCTATGTGTAAAAATATAGGTAGTCAAACAAGATAATATCACAATTATTGAATTACATACATAATCCTTGACATTGAATAGATAACACAAGTAACCAAAACTTGTTAATAAATACCTAAGTACACACAGTAATGTACATATTGCATATAATTAAGAATAAAACATTGGGAAATTTAATTCATTATTAAATACTTAAGTAGATTAATATTAAATGCACATTTTGTCTTTTTCATTAGTGTTTTGTAAAATGTTGGGATTTGGTAGGTTCTTAATATTGGCATTATTTATGTTTTTGGTATATCTTTACGTGGTAACTAATAACCCACTGTTTTTATTAGTTCTATGAAATGTATAATGGTATTAAAATGTATACTCTGATAAACAAAAGTCTACACAAAAACATAATTTACAGATTTTAAAGTGTATAATGTATAAATAATAAATAAAATCACCATAATTGATAAAATGTAAATGCAGGTAACAAAACAAATTCAAAATAACTTAGCTTAAAACAATTTTACACTGTTGGAAAAAGTAACAATTAAGTATTAGGTAACAATAACAATTAAAAACATCAAATCAAGTAATGTTTAAGTTTCTACATCATCAATTAATTATCACAAACATAACAATAGGTACTTGTAATAATTAATACTAAAAACCTCTTACAGAAGTCAAAAACCACAAAAAATTCAAGCAAATTGATTTACAAAATGAAGTTCATAATAATTCGAATTTGTGCATATTGTGCTCTAATCGAAAAATATGGCAGTAATGGTTTAATTTGTGCTAATTTTATAATGATTTACTTAATGCTGTCATGACTAGACATCATTTTTGAGCTCCAAAAGGGTCTTAAAATGAACACACCACACCACAATGAGCATATTTTAGGTGCTAGTACAATGACGCGTGTTAATATTAAATCTACTCTTTGCACTTTCAAATAATATTAACAGTCTTTAAGACCCATTGTTAATTTTCAAACAAACTAACTTAAATCTATCAGTGCCAGGAACAGGGCTGGACAGCATGAAGAAGTAAAAGAAGGTTGCATTCACTACAGATTTAAATACTACAGGCTACATGGATCGACTTTCAAGCCCCACGTTGGGCGCCAAGTTCGCTAGGTTAAGAGGCATGTCTAATTCACCACATATTATTTTATAGTTGTTTGCTTATGCCACGATGTAGCACGTGTAAGATATTATGATTAAGACATTTTTAGTGTCAGCCATGTCCCAAAATGTTAATGTTACTTACAACCACCTACGTAAATAGGTAGTAAGTACTTTCGAAACACATTTCAGTTGTGTACGCACGTTGACAAGTCTTACAACTAATTTAAATAAACTAATCGTCGTGCCATGGTTTATAAAAGTAACTATACATAATTAATAATAAATTAGTTACATATTCATGTAATGGACGCGATACAAATTACAGTTCGTAAATTGTGATGCTATAAACCACACGTATCTCTACGTTGACAATAGATTTCCTAATACCGATTCGTAGCATTACAATGCCATTGATATTGCATTATAGCGTGATCTATCATAGATGACGCCGACGAATCTAATGTAAACACTGGAATAATGATGTCCTCAAATAACGATCGTTAGTTTTGGGCGCATTAAGCGATGATCGACACGATAATGTGCATAATGAAATGAATGTCCGTACGAGTCCGTCGCAAAGCGTTGCGATATGGGAGCATCAGTGTCTCGCGCCCGTGAGGCGGAGGACTGCTGGACGCTATCCGTTGTCGCGCTCGGTGGAGCGCCAGTCTCCGCGCGTGCAAGCCCCGTCGCGCCACCACGACTGCACGTCGGGGTAGCTGCCGGTGCGCTTGCGCCGGTCATTCGCGTGCAGCATCGCGCACACGCGGCAGAAGAAGTACGTGTTTATGAACTCGCCAGTACTCTGAAAATAATGACACATAAATATCGCTTCCTCTTATTCTTCGTTGCCCTAGCCCCTGGGTCGGCTCTTCTTGTTCTGAAGCACCAGAACAATCTATCCTTTTGTCAGAAACTAAAAACACGTGGGTAGAGTCCAAATATTGTGTCTAGTACCTACAGGTTTAGTAAATTCCTCGTCATTATTACCCTGACTGAATACTGTTGATTGCCCACTTACGATATCAGGCTTCTCTTTAATCTCTTATTATTTATCCACAATGAGGAAGCTCTTGGCCTGCATCTCACCTGATGGAATGTGATGATCTGGTTGAACTTAGAAGCGAGCTTTACCCAGAATCCTCAATCACAAAGCCACAAACAAGTCGCCAAGTCTAGTTTATATTTTCGTAGACGACATGACATGCAAGATGAGATTCTGGTTCAGTAGACCAAAGCACATTACTAGCGGCCTCCCGCGACTTCGTACGCGTGGATCCCGTTTTACCCCCTTAGGGGTGGAGTTTCGTAAAATCCGTTGTTAGCGAGCACCTATGTTCTAAAACGGGTTTCCCATGCAAAATTTGAGACTCCTAGCACTTGTAGTTTCTGAGATTTCGTGACGAGTGAGTCAGTCAATCAGTGACCTTTCGCTTTTATAGATATACATTTACCTTCCACCTGAAGTAGGAGTTGTACAGGTTGTCATCATTATCCAACCGGTGCAGGTAGGCGGCGAGCTCCTCGGCCCCCGCGAACTCTTCCACGTGCACGTACGAGGTGAATGGCGCGGCAGCCGCGTACTCCGACGCTCTTGCGCCCATCACTATCGGCAGGACGTTGTGCCTGAAGGAAGAGAAGACTCACCTCTTTAGAACCGTATCGGGACACTTGCGCGAAAGACATTAGCTCGAAAACAGTTTTAGAATTGTTATTCGCGAAAAGTAGGTATTTGAGGTGTCTTTCTGTTTGTCTTTCATTATAGCTCCTGAATGACCGAAACGATTCGATTTTCTTATCTCGCTTGTATCTTGAAAATGCGAAAAATTAGATCTTTATAGAAAATCGCAAATGTCTTTCGTGCTAGTGTCTTTTCGCGCAAGTGTCCATGCGCGCAAATGGCTTTTTGCGCTAGTGTCTTCGCTCAAATGTCTTTCGCGCAAGTGTACAGAACCCTTTAGAACTGAGTGAGAATATAACTCTATTGAATATCTTTACTTCAATGCGTAATAACGGATGTGAAATCATAATACTGATGAGATAAAAAAATATAGATGTATGATAAGTAGATAAGGTTATCACTACACGGATAATACGTAAGCCTCTTATAACAGCGCTGTTCAAATTGAGGGCACTTTGGATAATGGGTTTATTCGGTTTTATTAAGTTATCTGAGTGACCTTGTCAGAAACGTATAAAGGTCTTAAGCTGGTCTTGTGTTTGTTTGTAGGTAGTTGACATAAAGTTACCACGAAATTCGGCACGAATACTCACTGTAAGCCGTTGACAAAGAATTTCTCTGTGATATAATCCCGGCAATTTGAATTCTCGAACGCTAGATAGAATTTGTAGTCTTTGTCCAGCATTTCTAAACAGTTGGGATCGGTGCGAGGGCAGTGGTGCGATCCGCAGGCTCCGTAGATATCCACGGAAATGTATTTTGAGAGTTGACGAGCGTATTGTAGGCGACGGTTTCGAGCGTGGCAGTTAGATACGAACCATGCAACCTAAAAATAAAGAAATTGCATTAAAATAAGTAATGTAACCTTCACGAAGTGTTTGATAGGGGCGGCTCAAGTCGAGGCAACTGTCCAGCTCGCTCGCAGAATTTCTAAAATAAGTCCATCATTAAGGTACCTTTTTGGTTTTGTTAGCCGCGTAGTTTCTTTCGTGGTCCTTTCCGGTAACGAGTTTATCGTGGTACAACCACTTCTCGTAGGGTGCCACGATGTCTGAATCGCGGCGATATGTGGACGTCCAGTTGAACAGGTCCACTGACGTCGGCCGCAAAGAGGCTGTGTGGTATGGACACTCGAGGTAATAGAGTATCCAAATCTGGAACGAATTGAAAATATGTAGGCATAAGTAAAAGATTTGACGAAGAGCGACTTTTTTCCTTCTTCCAGACAAAATTCGTCTACCCATAACCCAAGATCATACAAAGCAGTATAGGAGTTTGTTAGCGGTTGCCCACGTTGTCATTCTTTAACGGATAAATTACCTGTTTCATCGGGCGTTTAACGTTGAACGGTGTGTGATGATCTTTGAACAAGATAGCATCAGCAGTGGCGGCTTCTCTCGCGTCTGCAGTCAGAGAGCAGCGATCCACCGGGCATTTGTTTCGTATGAACTCCGTCCGGCCAGCTGGCACACCCCAAGCTCCCAGCCCATTAGCAAGGAGAATCTTCTTTATTGGTACTTCTTCATCGCTTTTCGGAAGAACGTACATCAGTTGTTCGTAAATTCTGAAAGTAATTGTTGAAGTCAGATTACCTGTGATCGTAAGCCCTCAAAGTCTGTAGGTGAAAGTCTTCATAACTTTAATTGATTGACTGGGCAAAGCATTTCGACTACTACCTAATTGGAAAGTATCTTTGTGAATTTTATACTTTTTGTTTAACAATAAAGCCAGTTTACCTGTCTTCTCCTGGAAGATCATCCGGGAACATCCCCCTGTGTGGCTCCTCCGGCGTGGGCCGTTTCTCACCGCCTCGCATGAACCATGGCCTATCCTCAATTTTGTTCTCCTCGACGGCTATGTCATTGTTTTCGGTTACTAAAATCTGGAACTGAAGAAATCGGAGTTTTTGTCGATATTTGGTAAATGGTTTAAGCACAGAAGAATTTCATAAAGTTCGTTTAAGTACAAGTCTACCGCTTAACTAAGGTAAGGGAACGGCACGGGCGGAGGGGTGACATCACGTGACAGAGAGAGTCTTCTCAAGCACATCTGAAGTCTTGCTGCTGTGGTATCGGTGAGACGCTGACGCTTGACGCCACAAAACACCCACCCGTGCTGCTTGTTTTATCATCTTTGACAATGTTAGGAACTGAACTACAAGTGGAGTTGCAGGTAAAAGCGTCTTCGAGCACCGAATCCAATAACTTTTGAATATACTCGTAGAAGCGGGGCGGGCGTCCAACTAGGACCGACGATCTGGTAAAGGTAAGAAAAACCTCATAAAACTCATTTATTTTTGCAAATAGGCTTTTAAAAAGCACTTTTACACGTCCCAGTATTAACTCTACCACTGCTTTGGGACAATAAATGGGTCGCGGGAATAACCTGCATGCGGGCAGCGCAGAACCGTTCATTGCAAAAAACTTTGGGTGAGGCCTTTGTCCAGCAGTGTACGTCATTTGACTGAAACGAACGATACTGGTAGAAACTTACTTGCACCGGCGGATCATCTCTGACCGGCGCCGGCGGCGGCTGCGGCGAGGAGGGCACGCGCGCGGGCGAGTCGGCGGGCGGCGGGCGCGGCAGCAGCAGCAGCACCAGCGCGGTCAGCGCCAGCGGCAGCACCAGCGCCACGCGCCGCAGCGCCCGCAGCGCGCGCGCCGCCCGCACCCGCATGCTGCGCTACCCCGCCCCGCGATACTGAGTGCCCGCGGCCGCGCCCGCGCCCATCCCCTCACTATCGTGGGACGCAACCGTTTGCTGGGGACATCTGGAACAATTTAAACTATGTTTGATAAACAATATACTACATCTTTCATTGCACCATCTGATTCTAGTCCCAAAGCAAAGTACTTATGTGCTAAGTAAGGTAGTGAGTCTACCTAAGTAGACAACGAATGTAAAACGTGGTAAAACTTAAGTTTTACCACGCCTACCTAAAAAGTTACTTTAGTTACATAATATTAGAGATTATTAAAAAAAGTTTTCAATACTTGTTTTTTATTATGTAGAGGAGAGAGAGGGACTATTCCCACTGCTGCAATTCCTGTGTAGCCAGGACCTCCTGTGTAGCTTGATCGCCAATAAAAACCCAACCAATGAAGGTCAAGTTTGTTACTACTACCTACTATTGTAGAGAAGATTTTTCGCATGTGTACTTATGTGTTAATACAATCTTTTAACATTACGTACAACTTGCTCAAAGAAGAGTCCAATTATGATGTGCCCTTCGCCCATTAAACGAAGTTGGAAAGAACGTCGCACGAAGTATCGATTTTATTAATAAATTATGCTGCTATAATCTACGTGGCATTTTACTCAACATTGTAGTGTTTCTTACAAAAATAAGTCTACGAATTTTCGTTAAAGCCGTCCAATTAACCATGTAAACAATACATTTCCTAAATATTTATCATCTAAAAACATGGTAAACAAGCCTGAAACTTTGACAAAGTGTCACTCGCACCCGCCAAGAATTTATAGTCACAGAGAAAAATAAGATCTCAACACGAAGAATTTCTTATTTTGATATTTGTCTTTGAAGTTATTTCATTTGGGTAAGGTAAACCCAAAGGTAACTTTATTTCCCCTGAGTTCCTACAGAGTCCATAAGTAAAGTGAGTAATCATACATGCTTACCACATATGTTTTTTTTTTGTTTTTTTTTTTTTAAAAAAGATTATTAGTAATTATTGTAGGTAGTATTGTTTACCTAAGTCGGTATTTTCAAAATGTAGTACACGGCATATCGAGTATGTAGGTAGGTACGAGTAGGGAGAGCTGAGTGCGACTTGACTATCTTACTTTTCTGAAAGCACCTTAGGTACCATTTAAATCTATCTTCTTACATCGGCATTTCTTCTCTTAGGCAAGAACGAAATGTTCCTCTACGTTTTGTTCTTAACAACACAGGCAATTTCTAGTTCTTTTGCAGGTAAAATGGACTCATAACTTCGGAAAAACATTATTTGTTAGTTTTATTAACTCGTCCGACATCTGCGGTGTACATGAACTTTACTCTATTTGCCGGGGTAACCGTACTGCCTTATGGACGCTAATTTTACCTACCGTTGTGTCGCATTGCGCTTCAACTTACATGCTAAAAACTTGTACCTATATGGAAATTCTTTCAACAAATTAAACAAAAACTTTACATGCGCTCGATTTTAAAACCGTAGCTACGATACTTTAACAAGTAGCAGTTTAATCAAATTTTGATTGCTTTCGCCGGAAATTAAATTGATTTTATGTAGTTTACAAAACGAACCAATTTCAAGGCCCACGTAGTTATGCAGGTGCAGGATCAATAGTATGTATGGACTACGTAGATCAGCGTCTTTTATGGTAAAAGTAATTACTAACCTACAAGTTAACCCATGAATTTGATTTTTACAGAATATGAGATCTAGCTCCATCGAGCGTTCTTTATACGTATCACTAGGAAATGTCTATACTAAGTACCATCACGTGCAAGTGATGAAGTGACCCTATTAGGATAGAAATAGAAGCGTTGATGTCTTTTATATGTAGGTTATACTTATGTTAAAGATAATTTATTACTTATCAGCTGTTATCACTTCCATAGTATCAATCGATGTTTATGTGTTTAACGCCGGCACATTACATTCGTTTTTGAAGATGTTATCCTCAATATCAGACAAACAGGCAGACAGAAAAATATAGTTACCTACTCATAATAAAATTTTACATAGGTCGTCATCGTTATGATTACCTTGGTAACAATTTGTATGCAATAGCTACATAAAATGTGAATTGCTATTGTTACATTAGGTAGGTACAGCAAAAAAATAGTATTAATATTATGTCGATAGCCATTAATATTATTTCGACCTTATTAAGTTATTTTATTTCCTTAATACCCAAATATGAATATAATTTGTATTGTGGTATTCGTAATTGGTCATGTAGGCATTTCTGTTTCATAAAGTACCAGTAAATTATGTTAATGTAACAAACATTAATACACAGTAATAACAGTGAAACAAAATTTGTTAGATGTTTTATTTAGGAAAGTAAAAATAATTCACTCCAACGATCTCGAATAACCAAATCTACTAATGAATATGTTACATGGAAAATAAAAGATATTATTTATCAGCCTGAATGATTTAAAATTAGTTTTAATTTGCACTCGTACTATCAGCCACCCAGCATGATAAACAATCAATATTTTAATGATATGATCGATGGATAATATGTAATGTTCACGGTTGGAAAATCCATTATCCAAGATCTATGTAGGTATAAGCCTATCAACTATTATTATTATTCATTCAATTATTTCAAAATTCACGTAACCCAACATTACTTTATTTGGCAACATGTAAATTGTTGCCAGCAATAAATGTTTCCGTACTTATTTACACAGAGAATTTTATTGTCACATTTTTTGTGTGCGATGAACATGCGTAACACGTAATAATGTGACTAAATAATGCCTCCGATCTGACGAAGCATGAAATTTAATGGGATTATGGAATAAGCAGTCATTAAAATAATTTGAAATAGGTTTTACGTGTGTGTTAATATAACCTAACTAAAACACTATATTTCTTCTAAAATCTTTAATAAAGATTTACAAGACTTACTATCTTTCACCCGTTCTAACTCTGGTTACTCAACAAAACTGAAAGTTGATTCTGTACCGTTTTCGATTAATCTAAAATGTAAAATCAGAAAACAATGCAATATTTATGGATAGCCCGCCTGTACCCTGAGCACGAATAACTTTCTTAATCGAATTCCATAACAACCGTAACGGCGCGCTGCTGTTTTGTTTCTCATACAAAAAAAAAGATTACCATACCTTAACGAGAATAAAATATTTACTTGTACTCCGAATATTGATGATTAGTAGAGTAATGTGTGGCTAGGCATAAAGCATGTTAATTATATAAGATTTTCAAACGTTACTATATTTTTTTTAGTGCAATACTAAAAAAATGTTACAACACCCAAACATTGAAAATAGATAAAATATGATAAAGCTAGCTCACTAGGCAAATACGAGTAATCTTATCGCTCCTATAATCCTTTATTGCCCACATTTGCCAGCACGCCCACGAGTAGGTATTTCCATCGGTAAATTGTCACGAAAAACTAATATCGTTCACCCTTTGGGACTATTGCTGGAACAAATATGTAGTCAGTTAAATGTTTGTTTACTGCACGAGTATTTTGTTTTGTAACTTGAACTATATTTACACACTAAAGAATTGTATGAAACTCGATTATACACTTACTTGTACACACCTGGTCAAATGTCTTTTATTTATTGAACAAGACATTGGTATAAGTTTTATTTCTTAATTTTCACGACTCATAGTCGCTTTACGTACCTCGGTAAATGGATGCATTGACACGAAGAAAGGTCGCCTCTATAAAACAATTCACTTGCAAATTAGGTCAGAGAAAATCTAATTTAAACGCAAGCGAGGAAACCCTTTGTTGAAATTTTGTAAAAGCACCCTAACTTTAGATAGTGCAATCAACTTGAAATGAAAAAGTACATATTTTTACCTAGTGATTTAAGAAGATAAAGTCTCGACAAAGATAACAAGTAGTTATAGAGAGGTCAAGCTTAATATATTTTAATTAATTTTATAACAAGTTTCATTACTATAGGTATTTGGCTCCAGCTCTCTTTTAGACAATTATTGTTCAACGAATAATTTCAAATCTTTATTAGTTTCTGTAATGTAAAGTCACGAGCTGTCATTCGACAGAAAGAAATTACGATGTCACGAAGAAGAAGACTGAAACTCGGATAGTGGTTAGCATCGCTGACTAGCTTTTATTAGTATATCAATTAGCTTATTAAAAAGCTTTTAAAATACTCCTTTTAGGCCATTTGTACGATAAAAGCGTTAGCTGCAGCCATAGTTCAAAATTTCAATACTTAATGAATGAATCAGTCTATGATCGAGTAAGAGTGAAATAGAAAAGTTAGTACTCCACCTCGAATCTCAGTTCCTAGCGATTTCACAACCGTTACATAAGAAATAGCTAAAAGGTATGGCTAATTGAAGTTAACCGTATCAAATTATCTTCGTCGCGTTATTTTCTTAAGACATTGGTTAGAAAATAAATGCTCACTTCGTAATTTTATACTTAGCAGTGTCTACTGAATTAGGAACGGTAAATCTTTGGAAAAAAATAAGCGAAGTAAAACTTTATCCGGTCGGTGCCAGAAGCTGCAGGTTGGTATTTTAATTAAAATTGTAGGTACATTTCATTATGCACTTTCCAACGGTGTTAAGGTTAATACAGCTACACCATAGTGGTATGCCCGCATGACAGCTGTTTTGTGTTATGTTTGATGGTGATTGCATTTTACAGACAATTTTTTTTCAGTGAGTTTTCTTAAAAAAACTTTATGCAAGAACCTACGTTTAAGAGCGATAGAATAACATGGGGTACAACCAAAAAGGGGCTCATGGAGTCATCATAAATGTGCTCTTTAAAGCACAGAATATATATTTCCGAATGAACAATAGGGTTTTTACTTTTTTGTTATTTCTTGCACGAACCAAACAAGGAATCTCAATCAGTTTTTTAACAATTTATGTGCCCCACTATCTATTTTTAACTACCACCGCTAGACTAAAGAACAATACGGATGAGATGATGAAAGTGATCTAAAATAAATGTGTCTGAGTTATGTCGATTGGTGTTCGATAGCATTAAAATATTCAAAGCACTTCGTTTCATGCTTTTAGTGCTGAAATTAGTGTAGTATAGAATTAACGC